AGTACATTCTAGATAATACATAGTCTTTATCCAATACACTGTCGGACAGACACAGGATGAACTTAAGAAGACGCACAATCAATTACAGATACTTAGACTCCAATTTAAGCTGTGGCGAATATGGTGTTTGAATGAATTAATGATTCCATTGTACTTGTTGAATGCTTGATTTCGAATTCTAAATATAGTATATTCGTCTGTGATTATCTAGTAATTCTTGATACGATTACGTTATTTCTGGGATTCTTAGTTCATACTATAATTCAAATACTCCTGATTATCACAGGTACATATTTTCTCGTTTGTGTCGATGATTATTCAAAATGATCAGAGATTCTTTCCATGAACCAAATCACTTCGCAAGAGACTATTATGAAGTTTCGGCAGTTATCACAATTGATTGATCACTGGGTGGTGATCAATTGTGATTACATCTCAGTCCTACAGGAGGTTAGTCATGGCTCGGATAGCTCAGTGGTAACGTCTCTGACTGTGAAGCTGGGTGAAACGAGATCGAATCCGCCAGGGAGCACCAGTTCCCTCAAGATTACAGGTACACCTTGCTGACGAGTGCCAAGTAGCACGAAACCCGGGTCCAGGGTTTCCTGTTGACTACCTCCAACCACTATCTAATCTCAGTTTCGGCAGTTGTTCTCTAGTTTCGGATTGCCAGATGTTCCTGTGTCAAGCGGCACTCAGTTTACTTCTTCCATTTCCTCAGTTTTCTGTAGCAGGTACGGAGTTAAACATGTTCTTCTACCCCCCAAATCATTCACAATCGAATGGTCAAGCCGAAAGGTTTGTGGATACTCTCAGAAGAGCGCCATTGAAGGCTAAAGGGGAAGGGAAGATTAAGGAAATTAATGTCTTTCTATTGGTCTACAGAACATCTCCTAATCCATCAGACCTAAGTCATTTATCTTTAGCAGAAATTATGTTGGGTAGAAAAGATAAAACTGCTCTCAATGCCACAGAACCAAAGATCGGAAGATGGAAACAATTTAATCGTCATCATAGGACGAAACGCAGAATCTTCCAAAATAATCAGAAAGTATACGTTCGTGATTTCCGATGCTCAATTCCGCAATTGACCAGTGAACACATCCTTAGGAGACGAGGAAATGTCATGTATATGGTGGAAGTTGAAGATCAAAAGTGGATGCGTCACTCCAACCACATACCGCAAAATGCTGGCACTTCACAGAAAACCGAAAAGCCGGGCACTATGTGTTGTAACATTAAGCCCGGCGAGTTATCACATGGTTTATTCACTAACCGAAATACGACTTATTCAATCTTAGTACTGTGATAAGCCAATGACTTTCGACCGGTATGAGCAGCCTAGCGACTTTATCGGTCCTTTTTCCCCTAGTCCGTCCAATTGAGTCCAGAACGCCAACAACAACTTACACTATGCGAATCATTTATTTCAATCATATTTGGTTTATATACAAGCCATACAGACCGCATCACACTATGAAATAGGAAGTAACATTTACACAAGATCAAGTCAGAATGTGGTTGTGAACGTGGGAGACGGCAATTAATAAACTGAGCATAATTAAAGGACAGCACTTTGTATAATAATAATCTATAGGTCAAAACGAAGCTTACAATAAGACGAATATAGATATACATAATAGTTACAATAAGAATAAACATATACAATATTAGTCCATTTATAGTTCTCAGAAGTTACCCTTAGTTTAATCTTCACTCGGACGTAACACAACGTGGGGAATCGTCTTGGTCAGTTTCTAAATAGGAAGTTCAGCGACTCAGAACACCGTGCAAGATTATGTGAACGGAGAAAGAAGAATCCTTGACAAACTACGGAAGCTAATAGTTAATTAGTTGTAAAATTATGGAAATGGTTTCTCTTTGTTTATTTAGTATATTCATTGAAATGTTTTTGTAGAATTATATTGTTGAATCTAGCAAAGAAAAACTGTTTTATGTACTTGCATAATAGACTAAATTACACAAAACTGAGGCATTCAATAGAAAATTGGCTAGGTTTAAACCTAACTCCATCTCCACCAAATGTAACCCTACCTATTTGCGATAGAATAAACATGCAATTATAAACGTCAACGAGGAATAGATAAATTATTATTCACTGCTTCTGGTTATATTTCCACATAAAACTTAAGTTCGCAGCCAAATCTATACGCATTTTAGTAAATAAATGAAACGGCTTTCCGGATTTTTTTCTCTATTACGTTATCATTAACGTTTCTTTTTCGAAAGAAATTCACGTACATGCCTCAATGATGGCTGCTTTCCTCGTCACTTTATTAAAGCTGTCGGTGCTTGAAAAATACCTCCTTCGTTAAAAAATCTTCGACGTGTCACCAAATCCAAAATCGAATGCACTAAGGAACTTATCTCTAAACTTAAAATAGAATCCCTTGGTTATGACAAAATTGTTATGGATTTAAATATTATATGTCGTATTAAACTCATTAACTTCATTCGCGATGTTCAGTCTAAAACCAGTCATAAATTCCTGAAGACATTAACTAAAACACTTGTTAAAGAACAAAACCATGTGGCATTTCCTACTAATCCACAAAAATACATAAAGAACTTATCGAATAAAAAACTAAGTCGAATTGAAACTGAGGCACTCTCCCTTGGATTCAAATTTCATATCCCGAAAAAATGTAACAGAATAGAAACTGAGACGCAGTTCGAATATTTATATCAACAGTTGTCAGACCCGAAACCCATGAACGACGTAAAACAAAGTTGGTTCAAATCTAAATTAGTGGATATCACAAATCAGTATGTTAAGACACCAATCACACAATCAAAGTTATTCAATAAAGATCATTATCAAGCATTAGGAGAACTTATTAAAGGCGGAACAATAATGCTACTTCGTCCGGATAAGGGTCCCGGTGTAGTCATTCTTAACAGAGATGAATATATTAATAAAGTAACGTCTATATTAAATGACTCCACTAGGTTTATTATCGACAATACCCAGAAAGACTCAACAGATGCGACAGAGAAGCGTCTCCTAAGAAAGTTGAGAGAACTCCTGAAGAAAAATCTAATAGATAATCATACATACAATGGACTTAAACATAAAGGATCACAATTACCGTACCTATACGGCCTAACCAAAACTCACAAGCACGAGATCCCAACTAAACCAATATTATCAACGGCTAATTCGCCCTTCCATAAACTCGCCCGCTGGCTGTCAAAGTGCCTAGAACCAATCCGAAAGAAACTAACACCTTACAGTCTAAAAGATAGTTTTGAATTTGTACAAAAACTCGACAACCTAAAGTTTTCCGATAAATTTATGGTTTCATTTTACGTCTCATCGCTCTTCACAAACATCTCCTTGGAAGAAACGGTTGAGATCATATGTGAATATCCTGAACTTCTACCTCTACCAATCCACGATTTTAAACAGCTCCTCTTTCTGTGTACAAAAAAATATACAATTTCGATCCAATAATGCCCTTTACCGCCAAATCGATGGAGTTGCCATGGGTAGCCCGTTGGGCCCAATTCTTGCCGGTATATTCATGGGAAACCTAGAACAAAAAAAGCTTAAGCACGCAATCGATGGTACTACGCTGTATTGTAGATATATTGATGACACATTCCTCATCTGCAACAATCACGAACACGCTATTCGACCTATTTAATAAAGCACATTGGGACATAGACTTTACTATGGAACAAGAAGCTGAAGACAAATTCCATTTCTTTGATGTTGGGATCAGACGAACATCTGATGGTAAATTACATAGACATATTCACCATAAAAATACCTGGAGTGGTCTATATCTCAATTACCACAGTTTCTGCCTAATAAATTACAAAAAGGGTATTGTACGAACCCTTTTTGACCGCGCTCGAAAACATTTGTTCAAAAGAATACCTTGATGATGAAATTAATCTGATTACTAATGTTCTACGTGATAATGAATACCCATTGAAATTTATCCGGAAATCACAGACTAAACTCTGCGTTGAAAGTGACCTACCCAGCAGCAAAACTTACGACAGTATGGCAAACGAACTGCTCACTTAAACAAACCAAAATCGACAAGTCCTCTCCCCTCAGTTGCTCCAACTGCATTTACCAATTCACATGTACGTGCCAAAGCACATACATTGGAAGAACCGAGAGAAAAGTGCATGTCCGCATTTCTGAGCATGTTCCGAAAAACTTGAGGCTGCGAGGAACTAAGGCTTTCAACAGTGCAATAGCTCGGCATCTACTTGACACCGGGCATACCGTCGACATTCCGCACGCTTTCAAAATTATCAATAGACAAAGAAGTACGACCACCCTCCGTTTTGCTGAAGCTATTGCGATCAAAAAACTTAAACCGGACTTATGCATTCAAAAAGAGACTTTAATAAACTTATCACTACCTTGGTAATCTTTTTTTTATTTTTTTGCGTTTTGGTTATTTGGGTTGTTTTATTCATTTATTTATTTTAAAATTTTTATTTTGTTATACTCCCCCCCCCCTATTACCGAATTCTTAAACCAATTTTTTATTCACACATTTCCACCACCTGATCCTTTTAAATTATGTTAACTTTTCAAATTCTATTTAATTATTATTACGTAATCCATCTGATCATTATTCAATTCCATTAATCTCTAAAATTATCACACAATTTATGAACTTCACCAAACTATTACACCACTCACCCTGAATTAATTCCTTTTTTAACCTCTGACCTGTTCTAGCATATATATATATATATATATATATATATATATATATATATATATATATATATATATATAGTTATTATTGTAATCCAGTTATTTACGTTCATTTATGTCAATTGCTTTCACACTATCTCAATGTAAAAATTCTATCACATCTTTTGGTTTGTAAGCAGCTGACGAGAAACCTCAAAATAATATGAATTCATACTATTATGCATCAATGTTTGTTCTTGCTCTATTTAAATTCATAAAGGGAACCAATTGCATGAAATTTAAAAAAAAAGTAGCAATATGTTAATCATTATTTATAACTGCAATGCAGTCATAGGATTACGAATGAAATCAACTAAACATAAAGATTGAGTAATACAATGTGTTAAGTTCGATTGTGCTTTTCTTTTAGTCTTTATTGCTCGGTTAACTAAAATTAATGTAACGAAATAAGGGGACATCGAATCATATTTCATTTGGTCTTTTATCACTATCTGTAGATACTCTTCATTTAGTTCGTCCGGTTTTTGATTAAACAAATTGTTCTGTATATGACAATGTCGGAATAAAATATCACTATGCTGTTGCAATAAAATTTCCAAACAAGCGCAAGCAAGATCGAAATCTCGATTCGATTGAAACCTGTTGTTAAGAGAAAATACAAGAAAACTCATATTTAGTGCAATAAAAAAAGCAGAGTCAATAAATAAAAGAGAAATAAATAGATACCAACCTTAAAGGATAATTATATGAATAGAGTATAAATCCAACTAGCTAACAGAGAAATATGGTAAACCAAAAGATCAGTCAACAACAAACAAGAGCTCTTGAATAGACCACTCCACTGAATCTTACATCGAAGCACAATCTAAAACCTTCTGAAAAGATGACGCACAAATAATGGAAGTTGTCAACAAGACTATTAGTAATATGAAGAGCGAAAAACTAGCTGAAGCAGGGATGAGAGATTTTGGAAGAAGAACAAGAATCAACAGGCTGGAAGGAGAAATGCTTTGTCAACACCGAGGAAAGATCTTAGTAAGTGTGAGAACGAAAGAGGCATTATTCCACTGTCAGTACTAAGCCCCCAAATACCCTGGTACGGCCGAGAGTGTGTTGAATCCGCTCTCCCTCTCGAAATGCTCTCACATGGCCACGCGTACATAGCCTCTGCCAGGGTAATCCTACTCACTGTAATCTTGTGGCGAGGGTGTTGTTTGCGAAATTGAGAGGACGGGACTGTATCGCCTTACGTTGCTCCACTGTCTTGTGGATCAGACCATCAGGTCGAAGGCTCCGGGTGTGACCCCCTAAGAAAACCACCTGCTTCGGTTTGGACACCTGGGCAGAATCACAGCCCTCACACAAACCAAGTGAGATCTGTGTGGCACAAATGTATTTGGCGCTTCTTTGTACTAATATCTATGTGTTAAAATAAATAAATAAAATAAGGTCTTCAACAGCGTTACTGAACTGAATAAAATAATGCATAACGTTCAACCTAGAGACCAACGAAATGGGTTTTGTGCGGAAATGAACAATTGTTCATGGACGGCAACGCACTGAGGCGTTCCAAGTGAGGACCGATGTCAAAAAAGGCTCCATATTCTCGTCCATTTTCTTGCTGCCATCTGTCGACTGGATAATGAGGACCTGTATATCTAAGGAGGAGCATAGAATACCGTGGACACAACTGGACGATATGGACTTTGGAGATGACTCAGACCCCCGGTCGCATACACGGAAACAAATGCAGACGAATATACCCAATGTACTAGCCTCTTCCATAGAAATAGGCCTCAACATTCTGTTAGGTCCCGAGAAACATAATGAATGGTAACTTTGGGATCCTTTTATGGACCAATACTAAACGTATATTTTTATCGTATAATTGTTAAATAACTAAACTATTCATATTTATGTTCCTCTTATTATAAGATTTATTTTGACCTATGAACCATTATTATACGTTTTACCATTCTTGAATTATGCCGTCTGTTAGTCACCGCCTCCCACATTCACAGCCGCATTTGGCCATATTTTGTACAAATGTTATTTTCTATTTTATCCTACGTTGTCGTCTGTTTGATTGATATACAAACTCAGTATGTTTGAAATATAACGAGGCTGAGACTGATGTTCTGGACTTAACTGGCTGGGTTAGGCGGAAAGCAGGACCAATCAGAACTCTAGGCTGCTCGCATGTGTTTTACGCGTCCTTGGTCCAATCGATAATTCGCTGCTTCTGATTGGCGGCTTTGGGCTATAACACATTCACAAGAGAAAAAGAAAGATCGTGAAACGCAAAACAATGAACACCAACCAAATCACACTTGATGGCGAGGCTCTGGAAGAAGTAGAAACCCCCACTACCTAGACAGCGACATCGATAAACAAGGAGGATCTGATTCGGACGTGAAAGCACTAATCAACAAACCAAGGCTAGCATTCCTACAACTGAAGAATATCTGGAACTCAATACTAAAGTCACAATTTTCAACACTAACGTCAAAGCAGTTTTATATCGTAAAGAGCTGAGACTTGGAGAACTACCACAACCACCATAATCAGGTACAGATGTTTATAAACAGGTGTCTACGCAAGATACTCCGGATCCATTGGCTAGAGATCATCAGCAATAACATACTCTGACTGAGAAGAAACTGACTTCCAGTTAAGAAAATTAAGAAAAAGCGTTGGGTGGGTAGGACACTGTAGAAACCACTGAACTGAATCAAGAGGCAAGTCCTAACTTGAAATTCTCAGGCAAACGGGAAAGTGATGAATCGAGGATCACAGGGCGTCGAAAACTGGAGGCGGTACCAAACAACAGAAGTAATTACAATAAAATGAGCGTTCGCTTACCGATTAATTATATATCGGAGAAATCCATGCAGTTTTAAGTAAGGATTGGTTACATGGTCATAGAATGCTTTTGTTCGTTTAGGATTTAAACAAGGCATTTCCTCTTCAGCTGATGGAACAAGTAGACGAATTTCCAAATCTAGTCCAGTTGTTCCAACTGATTTCAAGTCATGAGAAATCTTATCGACTAGAATGAGTAAAAAATAATATACGAATAAAAGGCACAAATACATCTTTTTACAACTTTTTAAGCTGGCAAGCTAGCTTTGCTTCACCTTTACAAACTCCTTCAGCTTTTGTGGATTTGTGAAAAATAAACTCCCGCATACGGCTACATAAGTGTATGGTTGTGTTTACTCAGTGTTCTGGAGCAGGTCACATTGGCCACACAAATCGAGCACTATTAAATCGGAACCTGGGTGGTTTTTGAGAAGCGTACTTAAAACAATAGATTGATCAATACTAAGACATCATGTTAACTCCAGTCAAACTGCTCCGTCGGATACATCCTTCAAATTGTATACAATCAAACAGTGTGGCTGTAGAGAAAAAATTAATACAGAAGGGTTTTCGATTTGTTTTTTTAAACCGGAGGTCACTGCGCCAAAAGTGATTCGTGAAAACCATTTTTTTTTCCATGGTCATGACACCTAATTTTCACAGACGGCAAAGTGGCCTTAATACTTCCTTTGAATGTCTTCAATTTGCATATAACTATACGTTATTCTTACCAAGTTTTTCATCCATTCTTCACCTTTCTTTCACTTTTTCAGTTTCATCTGGTCCTCTTTCTTTAACTTAGCGATTATTACGTTTCTTATGGCACCTAAAATTGTGCAGTCATCCTTCTATTTTTTTTAGCAGATCACCTTACGTGTTAATGAATTGTAGATACGATTGTACGACCTAAGTAATATCGTAGAAAAAAAAATTTTCTCGCAGTTACCTCAAGTTCTTCTTCAATGACATCATGAGTTACTTTAGTTACATCTTTAGTAATTTATAAAAGGACAAAAAAGCGATAATTTTCTGCTGTGGGGGATTTAACAAAAATATAGTATTGCTACACTTCAAATATGTCCGATCAACAAATCAGTAGGCGGTCATGAATGTTGGTACTCATAGAAGAATACCATTAAGCTTTTTGATTTACGTCTGTAGATATTACTTTAGATGTGCAGAAAAACTTGATTCAACAGTGCTTTCAAAAGTCTACAGAATATGATTAAAAGGGGGAAGCAGTAGGCTACTTAAAAAAGAGTGGTTTAAGAATTTAAAAAATGCACCAATAACACTTACATTCATCATTTGATTTCGCTTGAATAAGTCTCATAGATAAGCCTTGTATAGGTTCAATAGCGTGTTCGAAATTTTTATCCAACAATCCACGTCGTTTACGATTACTTGTTTTATTAATCAACTGTTGTTTAGTTGACAATCTATTACCAAAATCATCATCAGCCGATAGTAAGCCTTGATTGGTCTCAACAACTGGCAAAAAGAATGGTAGATTTATGAGATTTTCTGCAACTGCATGAGTAGCAGTACTGTTATTTAAAAGTTTCCCAGCTTGATGATTACGTTGTCGAATAAAATCCAAATTCAGTAATGTTGCAAAAAATGATGATGGGATTCCAGAGAGTGTTAAAAGATGGCAATGAATTTGTTCAGGAGATATATAACTGGAAAATATGGGATAAATAATTTACATACAAATTAAAACTAAGGACCAACGGTTAAAAGCTTGTAAATAGGCTAATGTTTAGATTGATTTCCTGTAAAATTACTTTTAATTTTGATTGTAAAGTTCTATTTTGTTCGTGAACTTAAAAACTATGAATAAATTCAATTAACTCTGATGACGACAATTATCATTTAAATTTATCATTATTATCAGCCCCTGAATTCCCCATATTTTTTTGATTTCGCTAACTTATATTTTCTTGAATCGTATTTTCGATGTCGAGTGTTTTCTGATACCACTTATACTATCACGACGTCTACGACTCTGGGATATTCTCTAACAATTTTATCTCAATGACAGATATACACATGCCAGGTTATACGTTGCATTTAACTGACCCACTGAGTGGGGACAAACAAATCAGAATATGAGTAGTTTCATTGAAGTCCATTTGTATACTTTACGGTCATACTGAATAATTTGCAAAACAAGCCCATGGTCTTTATTAAACCGAACGTCAGTTTCTACAGCCTTCTGAGACAGTATCAGCGTTTAAATTTAGACAGAATAATACTTTATAGGTTATGCTCAGATTATTGGATAATACGAAAGTGAAGACTGAACGACTTCATACTAAGTTTGATGGAAAACGTCAGAGAGAAGATACGGAAAAAGTTGGTCTGGAAGGAAAAATTAAGAACGTGAAAACACTTAGCTAACCAGCAAGTAAAAAATGTATTCGGAGAGGAGGCATAAGAAAATTTTAGTGCTCAAGATTGGACTCTTCGCAAAGGGCCTGCTTAACGAAGACGTTAAGGCTATGTTCTCTTCTGCAATCAAATTAGCCAGTTATAATTGGTTAACATTAGAAAAAAATGTATCCCCATAATTTTAAATCAGAGAGAATAGTTAGGGGAGGATCCCTAAACTGACACCTGGACTTCTTAAAATCAAAACTGTTACGACTATCCGTGCCGTCGTCTATAATCCATATCTGAACAATTCCTCCAGAAGTCGGTTTGAACAACCCAGAAGTAGAATTTGACTTGAAACAGAGACTGAAGCTAAGATAGTGTAATATCAAATCCTGAATTTAGTTATTAACTGACCTTACTTGGTCATGCCAAATAACCCAGTTTCAATGAAGGTGGAAAAGTTTTCTCAAGGACTCCAACATTTTTCAAATTGAAAAAAATTATTAGAAACTCACACGTGTTCTCCACACTTGCCAGATGACAAGTCATCCATGTACTCAAAATCCATATACTTTCTGACATCTGTATCCATACCAAGCTCAATTACATCACATGTATTTCGAGTCATTAATATTCTTGAAAAAGTAAAAGAAGGGAAACTGAGTAGTGAATTTTATACCGAGTTACGATCAAATCACTTCAAATTATCCATACACAGAAACTATACGAATGAATGAATAACAGAGAAAGAAACCTAGCAATAAACATTAAAGTAGTAAACAGGCGTTTTAAGGGGAATGATCGACAACTATTATCGTGAAAAAAATGATACAATACTGTTAAACCAGACCATAAAGAAACAGAAATGATGGTTTAAACAGAATATATATGAACGGGTAAATAATTTATCGGATAGCATTAGGTTGAATGCAAACTAGCATTCCTCAATTATTTGGTCAAAAGAAAATAAGTAGTTTCACCGCATTCTAATATTACTTATTGAGTTCATATAACTTCATAAATTATACGGTCTTTCATCAAACATTTGGTTGGATTTCCATTTACATTATTACTTCTTCCACTTTGCGTTACCTATATATATTCGGATCATTAATCTCATAAGTTCATTTACAATTGATATTTCACGTTAGTCACTCTAATATTCTTATTTTATTTTAAAAAATCCTAAATTCATATGCTATAATTATAAGATGTATTTACAATGAATCTTGCCACTTTTTGAACTAATAATTTGGATGTATAGTTGTAGAACCTTAAGAAATTTTATAGAAAACAATATTCTTCGTTTATATATCGATGCTTAATATGACGGGGATTTTAAAACAGTTTAATGATTATTAACAATAGAGACTTTTTTGGAGAATCTAGAATTTTTATAGTTTTTTTATCACGAATTGATCTTAGTTAGACCAACATTGGAAGCCTGGACGCATTCGAAAGCCGCTTTTCCCATTATCAGACCCCTTGGAAGTGCACATCTATGACAGCGTGACCAAGAATCGAACTCAGGACCTTCATTTTCAGATATAAATGCTTAACCTCCGGTATTCAACAGTTATTATAATATCTAACTAGTCAATTCACGTGACTATATCCCATTACCTACAACGGAAAACTGTTTCACAGCTGACGTGGTTTAATCCCACTGGTCCCAACCACATCAACTGTCAAGATAGAAGATCAAAGGTTCAACCTTCTGTTGCGGGGTCGTGGATGCGCACTTCTGAGGAGTACCATACTAAAACGTAGCGGCAGTTCAGGGGTTTCAAGTTCACAATGGTAGTCTAACCAAGATTAGTTTGTGATAAGAAAAACATATATGAACAGCTTAATGATTATAAATTAGCGAGTTTTACCATTTGAGTATTCATCATTGAAAACAAAATAATAGCAAAATAATTACTACAATGGGAACGCGTTGAGAATCAAATAATCAATTACAACCTAAATGCACTGAAAGTTAGTGAACAGAGTTCACTGGATATTAGGGATGCTGAATCCGCGAAGTACATTCGTGACCCGGTATCTGACTTCAATTGCATCGTACGAATGCTATTGAGATATGTATATTTCATGCACCCATTATTGATTTGAACATACAATCAAGAGAACGAAACAAACAGGGAAGAGCGAAGCACATTGGAGAAGGCAAGTGAACCAACTCAATTTAAACAAGCGTGAACCGATATTTACAGTCACACAAAAATAAGCTACAGACATGTGATGAGTAAGATAAGAAATGCATACATATACTCTTACATAAAAACAGTCAAGGTTGACAAGCAAATAATTAACAAGTTAAAATATAGCTTGAAGAGAATAGATAGATTGGTATGCCAAGAAGCTAGAATGAGTTATGAGGGCTCGACATAGTGCAAGCCACTGCAATAGATCATTTTTAGAAAGAAATCAATATTGAAATTCGCATATATATTTAAAGTGAATACTGTTGATTGGCTATCAGTACATTTTGATTTGTACTGATTCTCTGTACGAAGTTGGTTCACGGGGTTTTAGTCTGTTTCAATGTAATTCATCGATCTTTTGTATTAACGTGATCATCAGTTGACAAATTCTTTGACATAAACTTATCAAGAACAATTTATGTATTAATGAATTATTGTTGCACGTTAATCCGGTTTTATTAATTTCCACCAAAAATCTTAGCAAGATTTGTCTTTTTAAGCAGGTGAAGTTAGAATAGATTCTGCATTCTGCACCCAAATGCCCTGGTATGGCCGAGAGTGGGGTGGGTTCGCCCTCCCTCTCGAAATACTCTCACACGGCCACGCGTACACAGCCTCTACCATAAAAGTCCTATTCGCTGCCTTCTCGTGACGGGGCTGTTGTTTACGAAAATGAGAGAACGAAAAGCGAATGTCCGACGCTTTAACCGGATTCCAAACAAAATCAATGGTGCACATGGGCTCCAGTATCCTGAGGGAACAAATGGAGTATGAACCAATTGTTGGTCACCGGCTACCATTGGACTGCATCTCCTCACGATGCTCCACTGCCTTGTGGGTTACACCTTTAGGTCAAAGGCTCGGGGTTTGGCCCCCTAAGAAAACTACCCGCTTCGGTGATGAACTGTCGATAATTATGGAAAATACTTTTCTTGCCTCGATTAACAATCATATGATTCACATTATTATTATTATTATTTACTACATCATTATTCACCCTATTTTATTCGTACTCTGTCTATACTTATTTTTTCGACTTATACAGCAGCTCGTCTATGGTGGAAATTCGACTCTATCTAAACGTTCTCGAGTCACTGTCCATTTGAAAATTGTATGTTACCACCAAATACGAATACTGAAGCAGTTTCTCTGCAACCACGTGCACCATTCAAACTGGCTGCCTTCAACGTTCGCACACTTATGCAGGTTGGACAACAGATGGGGTTGGCTGTGTCTTTGCAAAGTCTTAATATCAACGTTTGTTGTCTATCCGACACCCGTGTTCAAGACTCTGGTGAAGTACTACAAATTTGCTCTCCATCTGTCGCTTCAAAAAGCTTGTTTTACGTGCGTTTACCTAGGTACCTTGTGACATCTTCGTCTGGTCTTGCTGGCGTTGGTGTCGCACTAAGCGCTAGAGCTGAGGCAGTACTAATCGATTGGATCCTGCTGTAACCTTTTACTTTCTTTATAAAAAAATGGTTGTTTCTTCCGACTGTACCTTTCACGCAGATGCATGTACAACAGGCTTTAACTACTCAAGCACTAAGGTGAGTAATAGGTCATTGAGTAGGATTTATGTGTATATGCAATCGCTAATTGTGTGGTCATATGGAATGCTAGTGACTTATGAGTTGGTTAAAAACTAAGCAGTTCCCAATAGGCGCTGATGCTGTCAGACGTACCAGGACAACGCACCTGAGTTTGAATGTATTTAAAAGACTATTTTGGTTTCTCGAAATATTTATATATGAAAATAAATGAATAATAAGGGGTTCTACAACAAATAATTGTTAGTTTACGTTAAACTAATTCAAGGTAATTAACTCATCAATAACAATTAATCTCAACGCATACTGGCACATATGTGTGGCTGAACAGATAAGAAGAGTTAACCAATAAGGAAATAGTTCACAATTGATAAAATGCGAGGTATTAAAGTCTAGTTGCTCACAAGTAATATAGTTATAATACATACATTTCAAGAACCATGTGCTGTGAAATACTTTCTCGTTAGAGATAAATGCAGTGTTTAGACTAAAACGTCCTTGGGGATTATATGAATACGGTCGGATCATTCAATGAGCTTTTGTTCGATCCATCAACGACTATATTTCTTCTAAACTATGTTTCTCATTGCTGTCTATGCTTCTTACTAACTCATTTGCCTGGTAATTAGAAATGAGCCGCGCTAATAATTTACTACTTGGTTACCCAAACCGAAGTAGGTGAAGTGGGATTCAAATTCCCGACCAGAGATCCCTAAGCAAAACTGTCTTAGAACCTCCTTTCCAAGTTTGCCAAGTTCTCGACGCCCTGTGATCCTCGATTCATCACTTTCCCGTTTGCCTGAGAATTTCAAGTTAGGACTTGCCTCTTGATTCAGTTCAGTGGTTTCTACAGTGTCCTACCCACCCAACGCTTTTTCTTAATTTTCTTAACTGGAAGTCAGTTTCTTCTCAGTCAGAGTATGTTATTGCTGATGGTCTCTAGCCAATGGATCCGGAGTATCTTGCGTAGACACCTGTTTATAAACATCTGTACCTGATTATGGTGGTTGTGGTAGTTCTCCAAGTCTCAGCTCTTTACGATATAAAACTGCTTTGACGTTAGTGTTGAAAATTGTGACTTTAGTATTGAGTTCCAGATATTCTTCAGTTGTAGGAATGCTAGCCTTGGTTTGTTGATTAGTGCTTTCACGTCCGAATCAGATCCTCCTTGTTTATCGATGTCGCTGTCTAGGTAGTGGGGGTTTCTACTTCTTCCAGAGCCTCGCCATCAAGTGTGATTTGGTTGGTGTTCATTGTTTTGCGTTTCACGATCTTTCTTTTTCTCTTGTGAATGTGTTATAGCCCAAAGCCGCCAATCAGAAGCAGCGAATTATCGATTGGACCAAGGACGCGTAAAACACATGCGAGCAGCCTAGAGTTCTGATTGGTCCTGCTTTCCGCCTAACCCAGCCAGTTAAGTCCAGAACATCAGTCTCAGCCTCGTTATATTTCAAACATACTGAGTTTGTATATCAATCAAACAGACGACAACGTAGGATAAAATAGAAAATAACATTTGTACAAAATATGGCCAAATGTGGCTGTGAATGTGGGAGGCGGTGACTAACAGACGGCATAATTCAAGAATGGTAAAACGTATAATAATGGTTCATAGGTCAAAATAAATCTTATAATAAGAGGAACATAAATATGAATAGTTTAGTTATTTAACAATTATACGATAAAAATATACGTTTAGTATTGGTCCATAAAAGGATCCCAAAGTTACCATTCATTATGTTTCTCGGGACCTAACAGAATGTTGAGGCCTATTTCTATGGAAGAGGCTAGTACATTGGGTATATTCGTCTGCATTTGTTTCCGTGTATGCGACCGGGGGTCTGAGTCATCTCCAAAGTCCATATCGTCCAGTTGTGTCCACGGTATTCTATGCTCCTCCTTAGATATACAGGTCCTCATTATCCAGTCGACAGATGGCAGCAAGAAAATGGACGAGCATATGGAGCCTTTTTGACACCGGTCCGCAGTTGAAATACGTCTTGTAACTGTTCTCCACTCGCAGCTTTGCAGTTCAATCCTTTGTGAGGGTTCCGTATGAAGGTGACAATCTTCTTATTCTGCATTGACTGATGTCTTCCCTTCCCCGTCTCTTAGATATTTATCAGGCTATTTGCATCCTTTATATCGATGCTTTTTGCTAACCACCACCTTCAAAAAGGGTTCACGTCGCTCCTGGAACAACTATCGGGGGATAAGTCTACTTCCGATTGCGTCCAAGCTATTGGTTTCCTTCATACTTCGTAGGTTGTTCAAAACCCGAGAAAGATTGACTCGCGAGAAGCAGGCTGGTTTTCGTTCCGGTCGGGGGTGTATTGATCATATCTTCACCCTCCGCTAAATGTTAGAACACCGTCATACTTATTAAAGGCCAACAGTCGTAGTGTTTCTTGACATCAGGGCTGCCTTCGATTCGTTGGATAGGACTGTTCTCTGGGATCGTCTATTGAAGAGGGGTGTGCCTGAGAAGTTTATTAACATCCTAAAGGCCCTATATACAAACACCTCAGGCAGATTAAAGGCATACAACCACCTCTCTCCACTGTTCCATTTAAGCATTTGAGCATACTGTTGCAAGTAAGTATCGAACCGAGCTAGCTTCTAGGCTAGCATTTGAGCATTCGCATGATATTGTCATACTGTGCGATAATACCCAAGCTATGCAATCCGCACCCAATCAGTTGGCAATCAATGTCCATAGGTACGGAATGTGCTTTGCACCTTCGAAGTGCAAAGTACTTCTACGAAACTGACAGGATCCTAATCCTGTACTCACCCTGGATGGTGGGCAGATAGAAGTAGTCGAGAAGTTCGTGTATCTAGGTAGCTGCATAAGTGCTGCTGGTGGCGTGAGTGATGAGACCAATGCACGCATAGTGAAAGCCAGAGCGGCTTATGCCAATCTGGGCCATCTTTGGCGCCTTCGTGATGTTAGTCTGGCTGTAAATGGTCGGATCTACAACACGTCGATGAGAGCAGTTTTGCTCTATGCTTGTGAGACCTGGCCTCTCCGAGTTGAGGATGTTAGACAACTCTCTGTGTTCGATCATCACTGTCTCCGAAGGATTGCTGACATCCAGTGGCAACACCATGTTAGTAATGCAGAGGTTCGGCATCGTGTGTTCTGGCGCAGATAATCCGATTGGTGTCACCATCTTGAAACGCCGACTTCTGTGGCTTGGACATGTTCTACGAATGTCGTCCCAGAGAATTCCACGCCGACCATTATTTGCCGACGCTGGGACTGGTTGGAAAAAGCGGAGAGGTGGTCAGTGTATGACATGGTGCCGTAGTATGAAAGAAAGCTGCAAAGGGTTGTCTTGTGTTGGTCCTTCACGACTCCCTGGCTGGGGTCCGAGAGATGGTGCGACACAGTGGCTAGAGACGTTATCAGATATGGCTCAGAATAGAAGCCAGTGGCGATCCTGCTGTAACCTTCTTTTACTTTCTTCATAAAAAAATGGTTGTTTCTTCCTTAACTGAAAGATTTCTTCCGATTGTACCTTTCGGTTTCCCCCATTATTATTATTACACTACCTTACATCAATCTCTTCGTTTTTGTTCTTTTTTTTACGCTCCTTACCTTTTTTCTTTTTCCTTCTCTTTAAATTCTCATTGTTTTGTGTGGCGCATATATATTTGGCGCACTCTTGTACCAATACTTATGTGTTCTAATAAAATAAAATAATAATAAATACATAGCATTCAAATTATTGCTATAATTATCACTGTTATTACGCGTCGTAACAGGATTAGTCAGTTCAACCCAAAGTAAAACCTGACACATCTGTAGATTGACTCAATTTGACACACCTCATGCGGAGAGAGAAATCGAATTATCCGGGCAAATCTCATAGAAATACGGATAGATTAGCACTAATTGTAATGAAAAAATTAGACATCGAAAATACGATTCGAAAAGAAAATATGGACTAGTCAAGTGGAAAAAATTCATATGGCATTTAGAAACTTAGAATCTAAACAAAGACAAAGAATGAATATACCTACACTATTGCAAACGATTCTGAGGCATACCACCCAGTCTCCAAGCGTTGGTTACGACAATCACAAGGACTCCAACCAGGTAGTCTACACCTACCCACATGGCTTAGTCTAATAGTGTCTTCATGGATCGATACCATATATTGGCTTCATTGCGTCTAGCTTCCAACCTATTGCATCTGTCATCGTCGCGCCTCCAGGTAGTCAGTGGATAGGCATACGTGACACGTCCCAACCATCCTGGTCGATAATGATTCACTATTTCATCAACCAACTTGCCATGCTTACCTAGTACTATCTGTTTAACTTCAGTATTGCTAATTCGATGGTCCCGAAATGCACGAACAATGGTTCTAAGACAACTGTGACCGAATAGTAGTAACCTATGAATATCCTCCGTCTCTGAACGTCACGTTTAACAGTTATAACATAGGACAGAGAACTGCTCCTCAGTAAAGCCGTTCTTTAGTTGGTAGACGAATGCATTACTTACTGAACAAGTGACGCAAGTTAGCAAGTCAGCCGAACTTTCTGGATTTGTGCCAAAATCTTGCAGTAACAAAATTACATAGAAAAAAGAGGCACAGTACTATTGATGGATAGTCTTGGTATACTCTGAAATCGAAATACATGCATATTAAAAACCATTTGTGTCATTAGCAAGTTATTTATTGGTCAACATATTCGGAAATCTTTGATCAAAACGAAACCTTTATAGAGATCGAGAGTCAAGAGGACGTCAGTTGTGTATGTCTCTTTAAATATCTTTCCTAATAGTTCCGCAGAGTTTATATGGTTAGGTATTTGAGCGAATTCTACGACTCAATGAGACATTTTCGAACACAAAATTAAGGCATTTTACAAAGGAATGCTCAACAAAATTTTAAACATTACCTAGATTAATAACTTAAAAGATTATTGTTAGAGGAAAATATCGGCACTTTTTATAATGAGTTCCCCTACATGCTTATTTAACAATAGTATTTTACTTAATTCGCAGAACTGTTTTAGAGACATCATACTTTTTGTAACTACAATTAAGCAGAACTAAGAGTATGTAGATGATTAATCTGTATATATGTTTATTTCTGGATTGAAAAACAACTTACCTAGTTGGTAATGATACTGGAGATTGATTTTCAGATGGAACAAAATCAATAGGTAAAGGCTGGAGGTGTAAATGTTTGTAAGTTGCACGGTTATCCCAAAGATAGATACCAAGGCAGTTTGAATGAGTTGTACATAGAAATTCATTTGCCCTGGATAAAGCGATTGAAGTGATAGGAATTTCTACACGAAAGCAGTCTATCAGTCTGAGAAATAGTAAAGTAATTACAGTAAGCAGTTAGATATAAAACCAAGATAAAGCTAGAATAAACAACTGAGATTTTTGAGATGTTGGGGGATATTTGTAGCTTAGGATGAGGGTTTTGCAGGCGCTTTGTTTACTGAGTTATTTGGTTTAATTGTGAAAATTCCAGTGTCTTATCGAAACATCATCAACAAACACTTCAATAAGTCATGAGTGATTAGCATTTCTCCGTAATTGATTAGTTGCTTGTTCTGTTAACCTACAATTCAGTTACTTGTTGTTCCACTTCTATGATTAGTATGTCATTCATATAAGCTGCAACACCTGGAACATCTTGTAGTACAGTATCAATTACCTGCTGAAATATAGATGGGGCCGTCTTGAATACGAAAGGTAGTCAATTATATCGAAGTAGGCCCTTGTATATGTTTATGGTGAGCAGATCTTGGCACTATTCAGCAGAAGGAATTTGTAAATATGCTTCCAATAAATCCAACTTTGCAAAGAGCTTACCTCCTGCCAGCGGGACATAGATTGGATTAAAGCATGCTCAATGCATGATTGCGTTGGTGCACACTGATTGGCTAATTCTTACCCAATCAGAGCTAGCCGGTACGTGGAGAACAGTCTAGAATCTTCCCATGAAAAAAAAACAATAAATATACTGACGTTTTTCCTATTGAGCTTCTTACTTCCATCTAACCTTCTTATTCCCGTCCAACCGGGTTCTGATTTGAGGACTTGTCGAATGAATTGGTGTATAAGAATACTAGGCAATAGGAATAGCTGGATTGTAATAAGAGAAAATTATAGCACCTCCATTCAGCTGAGCGAAAAGATCTTCAGGTATGGGTGTAGAATTATGGTCTACATCGTTATTAGTACTATTATAATAGTAGGCCTAATCCTAAAATTGAAGATATGTCATGATATGGCTGCCTAATCAACAAAACCTGACTTATTTCTAAAGATAATATCTCGCTATAATTTACTGATATCTTTCTTTTTGTTGTTAATTATACCTGGAGACGCCGGTGACCCACTGTTGATAGTTACGAAAGCTCTTATTTCGTCTAGAATCATTTAGTTATGTATAAGCACACTGAAAGTGGATCCTGCGTTCAGTAATTACCTACTTTTGATTCCATCGTCCTAACTTTGTGCACAACGTTGCTTATATTAGTTTGTGGTATGTAACATACCCGACCGTAGCTGCTACCTTGACGCGGTGGTCGGGCTTGCCTACTGTGATGACCCAACCGAGCTATATTGGTTGGAACATATTTTTCTGTAGGTTCTACCACGCCAAGCAGGTCGATTGGAGAACGGTAAGACTAAAAGTAGCAACCCAAAGTCTGAGGGCGAAGTCGTACTGCTGACTGTAGAGGGGTGTGACAGCAGTAAAGTGTTTCCCTCAGACAACCAGCATCTGCAGCGATGCTGCCTTCCTTAGCTAGGACCGTAGAATCTCGCGCCATCCATGTGTACTACGTCTCCGAAACGCCCAAACAGCATCCAAGTAGGGTAAGTCATTTGACCTCACCATGTCAAAATAAAGAATTAACTCGATTCACACTTCGTGTATCTGGAAGCCTTGATGCTGCTTCTCGTGGCCTCGCCGACGTAGGTATAGCATTGATTCCTAAGGCAGAACTAGCTCTCCTAGACTGCATCCCAGTAGAAAGTCGTTTGTGCGCTGTCCGACTAAACGGAACAGTAAGGACTCGTCGTCTCTGCTTATTCTCACACTGACTGCAGCTCAGATGAGTTTTACAGAAAGCTTTCGGACCTTCACCGAAAAGCTAGGGGCTCTGATATGGTAATAATGGCTGGTGACTTTAATGCTTAAGTAGGTAAACTAAGCGAAAAGGAAAGACACCTGGGTGGATCTTATGGTGTCGTGGCTCAGAGAACAGATAATGGCGACTGTCTGTTGCAGCTATGCTCAGATAACTGTCTGTTTCTAGCAAATACTAACTTTACGCATGAGGAAAAACATCTTTTACCATGGCGACCCCCGAATTCGTCTCAACGTTGAATCCAAATAGATCACATCGCTATCAGCCACCGATGGAGGAGCTCGATAGAAGACTGTCGCTCATTCTGGAGCATATGCTTAGATCCAGATCATGCTCTAGTGCGAACGCGTATTTGTCTGCGTCTTAGTGGTAGTAGGAGAGACGCTGCAAGGAAACCGCTTATGGCGTTACTTAATGATAGTCAACCTAAGAGTATATTTCAGGAACAACTAGGAAAACAGTTAGGCAGCCATGAATGTGATGCCCACTCTGTGATAGCATGGAATGATATCGAAAAAGCCGTGGAAACGGCAGTGATAGCTGCTAGTACGGTTAACCACAAGGTTAGGGAGAAACACTGGATCTCAGCAGCATCTACCGCACTGACAGATGCTAGAAAACTCATTTCATCTTGCTCTGAACATAACGAAGAGCGGAGTCAGCTTAAGCACAAGCTGATAAGAAGCCTACGCAATCATCGTGAAAAGTGGTGACTAGCGAAAGCAAGAGAAATTCAATAAGTAATACTGGACAAGTGTTAAGACTTGTTAAGAAAACCGGTATTAGGAACCTGACTGTTAGCGAAACAATCTCAGAGAAAAATGGACATGTTATACATTCTCAATCCAAGAACCATCGAGTAAGTAACGCATTTGTTAGGAAACGGGTACTAGGTAGGGATAGCAAATCAATTGATGAAATAGTGAAACTTCATCAGTTGAAATGGCTGTGACATGTGTTACGTATGCCCAACCACCGACTGCCTCGACGTGCAATGTTCAATAGTATAGGAGTAGGTTGGAAGAAAGCTAGGGGCGGCAAGACCAAAACATGGCACAAGTCCATGAAGTCACTGACAAGTGGACTGAGTCATGTTGGTAGGTGTAGACTACCTGGTTGGGGAGCGCGAGATGATAGCAACCGATGGTTAGAGACCCTGAATGCCAAGGCTCAAAATCGTTTGCAATGGAGCAAGTGCATCAACTCTTTGTGTTCTCCCAAATTCTAATCTTCTGAGTTCTTCATGTCCCTTTCTTTTTTCTCTTTCCAAATTTACTTCACTAGATTATACTCCTTGAATAATATCTTCAAACCCTAATTTTTCTGATTACAGCTTATAATTTTACTACATCTAGCACTACGGAATTTGAGTCGACAAGTGCATCTCTGTTCTAATGTGGTGTGGCAACTCGAACTGATATACGTACGTATGGAGTTCTACTTTGTTACTGACTGACTTCTAGAGTTACTGCCGGTCCCAAGCTCGGGTAAAGTAGGAGGTTTCGGCGTGGGGTCGGCAACTCCATCTCGTAGAAAACAACTTTGCTAAAAAGACGTTAACCAGATTAAACAAATCAAACCATTTAAACTCTGCCCTGGGAGTTGAAGGAAGAATTATAACGTCTCTCAATGAAAGCCGAGATTATTCGAAACTCACGAGGCCGATGCCCACTCTAACAACCAGAGCAGCAATTTTTAAAGGTACACGGAACGTCCGGACAATGTGAGAGACCGGGAAGACCAGTCAAATAGCAACAGAAATGAGGAGATACAGCTTGGCGGTGCTTGGAATACGTGAAACCTTTCGGACTGAAGCTGGACATCAAAGGTTAGATACGGCAGAGATGCTGCTGTACTCTGGTCACGAAGAGAAAAATGCTATGCACACTCAAGGAGTTGCTGTGATGCTGTTCAAAGATGCAGGAAATGCACTTATTGGGTGGGAATCTCATGGATCCACAATCACAAAAGCATCATTCGAAACAAAGAAGGAGGATATCACAATGAATGTTATGCACCCAACAATGATAGCAATGACGACAATAAAGATCAATTCTATGAGGCTGCAATCAATCATAGAGAAGTGCCCAAGAAAGGGCCTCACCATTATGATGAGAGGTCGAAACACCAAAGTCGGGATAGACAACACCGGATATGAAAATGTCATGGGACGACATGGACTGGGAGAGAGAAACGAGAATGGGGGAAGATTTGCAAATCTATGTGCATTCAACAAATTGGTTATAGGCGGCACAATATTCCCACACAAACGTATACACAAAGCTACATGGATCTCACCGGACCACACCGCGGAGAACCAGATAGATAATATTTGTATCCATAAAAAATTCCCAAGGACAGTGGAAGATATGAGAACCAGGAGAGGAGCTGACATAGCTTCGGATCACCACCTGGTGGCGGCCAACATGAAACTGAGGTTAAAGAAATACTGGACAACTGGGGGAACAGCATTACATAGATTAAATACAACGAACTCAACGAATTCAAGATAAATCTCAACAACAGGTTCCAAGCCTTACAAGATCTACTGAAGGAAGAAACTATTATGGAGGACAACTGGAAAGGTGTCAAAAAAGCAATAACTTCAACGTGTCAGGACGTTCTTGGTCGCAAAGAATGGTCATGAAGAATGGATTTCTATGGAAACCCTGAACAATGTTCAAGAAAGGAAGAATAAGGAGACAGCAATTAACAACTGCCGAACACGGGCAGAGAAAGTCAAGGAACAAGATGAGTACACAGAAGCAAACAAGCAAGTGAAGAGCATCAAAACCGACAAGCAGAAATATATGGAAGAACTAACAACGACGGCAGAAAAAGCTGCAAGTGAAATAAATATGATACACCGAAGAAACTAACAGGGGCTTCCATGATTCTGACTTGAGACTGTTCAAACCGCTTCTCCTGACGCTATAATTAGGTTTCTAGTTGTTTAAAAGAAATGTTTACTGCAGTTTTCTTTGATAAATCTTCAGACCGAACGATTGAATTAGTTGGCGAAGCTCTTCTAACAACCCCAGGCTAACTCTACACGGCAACTTGAACACGAGAGCAGAGGCGCGAAATATAGAAAAAACGCTTTACTCCAATGTTTGTTCATGCACAGAAAACTGAGGGTATTCATAGCATTTCAGGTGGCTTTGAGATTTTGGGAGGTTCCGGAACCTTACTAAACATAACGGCAGGATAGTTAATAATCCCATCAAAAGTGTGACACGTGACTACTCACGTTCTAGATATTTCTGAGAAAATTTCTGTTGGGATATTCAGAAAAATATCCCAAAAATTATTCTGTTAGGTCTAACGCTATCCTTGGACTTGAAATGGTGTTATTTTCTTACTGGTCAATATTTACTTCATGTGTCGTTTTCCTACTGGTCAGTATTGTACAATGTTATTTTCTATTTTATGGTATGATGTGGTCTGCTTGATTGGTATATAAACAGAGTATGTTTGAAATATGATTCATATATCCGAGGCTGAGACTTGCGTTCTGGACTCAACTGGCTGGGCTAGACAGGGAAGCGGGACCAATCAGAACCCTAGGCCGTTCTTACGTGTTTGCGCGTCTTTGGTCCGTTCGATAATATGGGCTTTCTTCTAGGTGTTTTCTGAGTTTCTTTATTCATTAGTCAACAAATAAAGTTTGAGTTGTACAAGAAAATAAAGTTTTAGTCGTTGATGTGAGAAACTGGTTGCTGATAACGCTGAGTAATATATCTATAGATGGAACTTTAGCAATGTTAAAATCACGAACATACAAATTTACAAAGCTGATACATGTCATTATTCTAGTCAATTTTTTTTATCTGTTGTATCCTAGTGAAGATTACATTACGAGTAACTTCTGAGACCTATTAATGAACTAATATCATCTATATGTTCCTATGGTATAACTATTCAGTAATTAAATTATGTATATTTATATTCCTCTTATTATAAGCTTTATTTTGACCTATAATTAATTATTATACGATTTACTGCTCTTAAATCATACTCAGTTTATTAAATACTGTCTCCCACGTTCACAGACACTTTTTGGCTTTATTGTGTATGAATGTTATTCCTTATTTTATAGTGCGTTGCGGTCTGTTTGGTTGGTATATAAACCGAGTATGTCTGAAATAAATGATTTGCATAGCGGAGGCTGTTGTTGGCATTCCGGACTCAGGCGAGCAGTGGACCAATAGGACGCTAGGCTGATCAGACCGAACGCACGTCATTGGTTTAGTACAGTACAGGGGTGAATAAATTACGTGATAACTAGCGAGTCATAAAGACACAACAGTATGCACTAACAGTAAGACATATTATGGTGAACTCTGAATTAATTTAATAGTCTCCACAACCCCATACTGATAATTATAATATGCTAACTAAGCCTCGGAGTACTAATGAGATATGACCAGTGGAGATAACCCGTGTCAGGTAGAAATAGTTATCTACCTCAGTACAATGGAAGAAGGTCGCTAAACTTCGTGGATTGTTTAAAGTTAGACGTTAACGCCGTTGGATGCCAGCTCAGTGGTCTAGAGGTTAGGTGTTCGCGCGCGAGACAGGATGTCCTGGGTTCGAGTCTGGCAAGTGGGGCCATGGATACGCGTGATGAGTCTGATAATAGGACGAAACGGCCATTAAGTGTTTCCAGGTTTTCAATGGTGGTCTTACATCAATCGATTCATCATTTCAATCAAAAATAAGATATATGAATTTTACTTACTTACTATCCACTATATCCCACGTTTTTACCAAGGGATCTCCGTGATGTGCGGAAACTAACCATCGGCCGTCAAATGAAATGTCCTACAGTTAAATAGGAGGGACACTATTAAGCGACAGTGAAAATGAAGCGTAAGACAAAAAAGTTACATGTGTTCGAGTAAAATATGGAACTGACTAGTGTCTTATTACCAGAAAAAGTGAAATCACTTGATAATGCTTACTAAAAATAAATGTAGTTTGTTCTCCATCAAAAGTTATTCAGATAATAAACAAGTTATTCTTCATTTATAAACATAATTCATTCAAATCTTAGGATGAATATACGTTGTAACTTCGTAAGTTTGTAATGCTGATAAATACCAATAACAATGATTTGATTACCGATTACTTAGTGACGTAGGTTTATGAGTTCATCTTGGAGTTGACACTTTAAATGTGAAGGATGATACTGATACCCAGTCGCCCAAATCGAAGTAGAGATCACTTTAAACTAGAAACTTCCACTATAGGTGGACGCTGATGTTGTCCAGAACAACAGCTTTCCAATCAGAATATTAAACTCAGAAAACGTAACACTACCAAAAGTATGCACCTTAGTTATATATGTTTTCTTTCATTTCAAACCTTAAACTCCATAATTGAAGGCCGGATAATTTAATTTGAAAGTATTCATTTCAAAATCGACAATTAAAAACACTAAATTTCACGGATTCAGACATATCTTACGTTACTCACATCCTATTATCCATCTTGAGAGATAATTAGTTACTGAGATTGGGCTGATACATCAAACCACCACATAGTTTTGAGCAGAATATGTCCCTGATGTGGCCGAACCAACCAAACCGTGATTGAATAATGGGAGGTCAGTTTGTGTGTTATCCCCAATGGCGTTCAACCAATCAGTGGATATACACACATAAACGTGATATAAAAGTGACCAAAAATTTTTTTCTTTCTACATTCCTTGTCAGTTGATAATTAAGTTAAATATGTTCTGAGTTTTTGGAAGTGTTCTCCTTGTTCATTTTTACTCAGTACATCAGCATTTATAGTTCGCGTCATACTAATTTTAATACAACGATTAGTACATGAATACCTCAAAACCGTTAATCTCGCTTACATTCTTTATCCTAATTATCTTCTTATTCCACTCCCCTTTGTGTCTTGCTCTATACTATCTATTTATATTCAGTGACCCGTTTCATTTTTCATAACCTCTGAGCATATAAAGTAACGTATATCTGTTATATAATATTCATAAGTATTTATATAAGCTGACGGAACTAAATGTACTTATTATTATTATGATCGCATTCTTCGTGCTTGCAATATATTTTTTTCAATTCTAGTATATTTGATGAATGTTTGTCTAATTGTAACAGTTTCCATATTCTCATGTTCTTTGTTCTTATTTTGCCATAGCGACTTCGACACATATCTTAGGTTGTTATAAATAGCTCTATAAACCTATTATTAGGAGGCACTTCCCTCTGATTGTACACAAACTCGGTACACTCCGTAGTCACCTCATGGGTTGAGGTTTACCACGTATTTTACATAATTTCGTAGCAATAGTGTTGTTATAGATAATCCTGTTTTGGTTTGACGAATTTGACGCGTCACTCGACCGTGCGGTTGAAGTTTTGATAAGGAATTAACAAATGTAATGAAAAGAGATGGATCAAGAACACTGACTGATTAATTTTAGTGATTACTGTCTTTCAATGAGTACCTCTGTTTAAATTTACGATTTAAGAATATCATACAGAATAAAAATGAAGTAACTCTCGTTTACCATATCAACACAAGGTTGGACTTCAGAATTGATGAACGTTCGAATAACCTTTCGATGTACAATGTCAACCAAAGTGATAGCCGCATTCGACAAAGCGACAGCTAGAACATCACTATAAACAGAACAGATATATTTAATAGAAAAATCTGAAACTCTTTAAAATCTTAATTGAAATGCTTCTATACGGCAGCATATCAGGTATAAAAACGGACAGTTTACGGCTAGAGACACAAAATAGGTTGTGGTGTTTTGCTACTTATATTGACATAAGTAGTATATGATGTTAGTCGTGAACAGGTCTGGCAGCAGAGAGACAAGAGGATCGAACAGTAAGGAATGGAAACAGGATGCAATTTGTATGAAAATGCAAGAACAATGTAGTCTGAGTCATTTTGAGACAACTGGTGAACATTTTGCAAATTAAGCATTTATTTTATGATTGTTAGATTTTATTAACAAGTCATGTAATTTTGTGTTAAATACATTCGATTGTTCCCACTGGTGTTCTTGTTCACTACAAGGTTAGTTCGTTATTGAAGAGTAAGAATGATTGCCTATGACTTCGGAGTTTACGAACTTGAAAGTGAATTAGCAGATCACTCTGATAAACTTGTGGCTGATGAAATTTTGATACAGTAACAAAAGCTTTCGCCTTTTAATAACATTGGGTCACTGGTATAGACTAGGTGTCCATCTCCTTATCAAACAGAGAGTGCATTGAACAACAGCACATGTTCAGCTTTGAAGCTGTGAAATGTGTACTTCGAAAGGGACGGATATGTGCACGTTACTAGCATTTCATCAAGGATGACTATGGAAACTTGCTCATTTGTGATGAAATAACCCAGTGGGTAATGCTGAATTAAAGTGTGTTATTCATAATTAACACAAATTTGTCCTAGTCAAAGTTACCAAGCAACATCATCATGGAAAGACAAAGCTGACATAACCTATAGCAAATAAATATCAGTAATGGAGGTTGTTAGCGGGACATAGACTAGATTAAAGCATGCTCAATGCATGATTGCTTTGGTGCACGCTGATTGGCTAATTCTTATCCAATCAGCGCTAGTCGATAGTTGGAGAATATTCTGGATTTTTCTTATGTAAAAACTATAAATATACTGACGTTTTTCCCTATTGTGCTTCCTACTGGCTTCTGACTTGCTATTTGGAATATAATCATTTTCCTGTTCAACCGTGTTTTGATTTGGGGACTTGTCGAGTGAATCTATGTCCGAGAATACTAAGCAATAGGAATAGCTGGGTCATTAACCGTAAGAAGAAACAGAGATCATAACATAGGTAAACTAAACATACAGAATATAGTGCGAAAAAGACCAATTCGATCAATAAAAAGCAAGCAATGTTGGAGCTCATAATGACGAACGAATGGAGCCACATCTTTATGAGTGATTCCGAGCCGTGTCACACAGTATCTCCAACCGCTGGCCGTGGTTATCGCATAAACCTCAACTGGGTTGCTTAAAACTAACAAGCCAGTTTAAGGGACAATGACTTGATAGACTGATGATACGTATTGATTTGGCAGCCCCTAGTTTTCTTCTAATCTATTTCGTGGAGGGTCTTATGAATAAACGAAAAGTCACACTGCATTACTCAATACAAGTGAATGATAAACTGAACAAAAATTACATCACTCAATCTTACATTTCATCCCTTTCTGAAATATTGTGTGGAGTATCTGGAATCCACAAAACTTCCTATTTTAATGAAGTACTTTCAATTCGGTTCAATTTTAATTCAATTACCGCTATCATCAGCAGCCTGACCATCTAGAATATAGGTCCAGTTGATTGAGCGGTGCCAAATTGGTCTTTCCTTTAATTGTGTAATTCGGAGGTAATTGTACACTTGAAGTGTCTATCAATATCTCCTGTGGTAGACGGTTTGTTGATGTTGTAAGACTCGGCGCTATGTATCCTAGCAATTGACCAACAATGCCGTGTGTGTTTGTTCCTTTCAACGGCCACCCTACATACTACCTGATATGGTCACCAGCCCATCTTTTAACCATGCGTCATGCTTGTCTGTATTCTCGGACGAACGCAAGAGACCCGATCTTAGACTGAAAATTTCAGTAGATAGTTTCTTCACAACTAGTCAGTCACGGTAACATCAGGTGGTCAGTCAGTCAGTAACAACGTAGAACTTCGTACGTACTTACATCAGTTCGAGTTGCCACACCACATTAAAACAGAGATGCACTTGTCGACTCAAATTCCGTAGTGCTAGATGTAGTAAATTATAAGCAGTAATCGGAAACATTAGGGATTGAAGATATTATTCAAGGAGTATAATCTAGTGAAGTAAATTTAGAAAGAGGAAAAACAAGGAACATGAAGAATTCAGGTGGTGGATTGCTCTCGATTCTGTGATATATACGAATTTTCGCCGACGAATTCTGATTCGTTGGTGAGTAAAATGTTGTCCGCTGCACAAGCAAAACGTCATGAAGTACTTCGATGGATGTCCTCTCTACATTCGGTTATTACAATCCGAAAACTGCTTCACCCATGATATTTAGCTGAGTTCATAAGACAAGAGAGGTAGATCAGCCCATACAAGCCACACGTTGAATAAGCCAACGAAAACTAGTGGAGTATTCAGTTACAGTACGAAAGCACTTCGAGAACTTTCAAAGTTTTGAATCGAATCATGCGCTCATTATTTAGTAAAACCAGACAGGTGAGAGTACGAAATTATTATCCTTGACAGTAAGGTAATGACAGAGGAGAGGAAACAGGTACATTAGATTGATTCCCAGATGGGAAGAAACGAGCATCTTGGGTTCCAAAACTAATCACTATCGATGAAGGCGAGTGATTAAATAAGAGCCCCCCTGGTATGGCCGAGTGTGTTGAATCCGCTCTCCCTCTCGAAATGCTCTCACATGGCTACGCGTATATAGTCTCTACCACGGAAGTCCTACCCACTGCCTTCTCGTGACGGGGGTGTTGTTTACGAAAATGAGAGTACAAAAAGCGAATGTCCGACGCTTTAACCGGATTCCAAACAAAATCAATGGTGCACATGGGCTCCAGTATCCTGAGGGAACAAATCGCGTATGAACCAATTGTTGGTCACCGGCTTCCATGGGACTGCATCTCCTCACGATGCTCCACTGCCTTGTGGGTTACACCTTTAGGTCAAAGGCTCGGGGTTTGGCCCCCTAAGAAAACTACCTGCTACGGTTTGGGCACCCAGGCAGTATCACAGCCCTCACACATATCGAATGAGATTTGTGTGGCGCGTATGTATTTGGTGCCTCCTTGTACCAATATCTATGTGTTAAAATAAGTAAATAATTAATTAATTAATTAAATAAGTGAACCTCTTGAGTTCACTTGAAGGAGCCTGGGAACTCATATTTTACACAAACTTAGAGATGGGAATATTAACCAAGCTACTCAGAAAACATTAAAATATTTGTTGTATGATTATTGATTACCTATCAGCATGAAATCTGACCAACAAAGAGGTTGATGGTAAGTCAAGTTGTCCATGTAACTTGTGCTCGTGAAAAGACCAGAAACGAATTTCACTTTCACCAACAGTTATGGTAACTCGGTTTACATTATTGACAGCTAGTCCGACAATAGAGCACAAATGTGCTAGTAGTGATGATGAAAAAATAAAGTACAAAATAAATAATTTAAATTTAAAAAAGGAAAAAGGGAAATAAATTATATTGTACACACAAAACAAATATTGTTTTCCTCCCCACTACTTTTTGTTGAGGTAAACCGCTAGTCTACATTGAGATATTGAAAAAATACAAATATTCGGATTGCTGACACGTAAAAAGCTATCTGAACAGTTTGATTAGTAATTGTTGAAAATAGCGTGAGCTGTGCTGAATGTCTATACTTGTTGGGAATTAAGAACAATATTTTGATAGAAAAATTGTTTCCTTTTCATTTTAGTATTTAAGTCTTTTCTTTATGCTACAAGAAATAGCATCAACTCATTATAATTACATATATTAGACTTCGCTTTATTTTATTCTGTATTTGAATTCGAGTTAGAAAACAGGGAATCTGAAAAATTACTATGACGAATTAAACAGTGAGAAAACTTTTGATAGCAAAATACACCTAACAATCAGAATCAGATAGCTGTTTTAGATTTCTCGATTCCTATTGAAGGAGGGTTATTAGCTCAAAACTACGGAGTTATGAAGAATTTTGAAGAGCATTACTGAGACACAACAACGTAAGCATTCTTCAAGTGATTAATATGAAACAAAATATCAAGACGATAATTAACAAACCGGTAGGTGAGCCATATGAACCGCGCTCCAAACCAGACTGCATATTAAACTTGAAGACATCTCCACTTGAATAACCAATGAGAGCATAGTTACCACAACTTGTCAAGTACGCACACTGAAAAGAAGGTAAAATTACTTTAAACTCACAGAAAGGTAAAGAATCTCTAGATGAAGAGTATTAGACAAGTGGATCAACATTTTTAACGCAAATAAAAAGTAGTTGATCACACTTTCATTTGATGGCAGTATTTAACTTGAACAACGGAACGTCTTTCAAGTGAGACGTACCCATCGAGATAGACTAAAATTCAACTGGATAATTTATTCAAATAGTCGATAAAGTGGTTCTTTTAAACACATGCGTACACAAACCATCAACAACTCTGTTATCCAATGAAAGCACATTATTTCTACAATGTGAACATTGAAGTAATATTCACCCACAACATAGATGTGGTAGAGCAGATTATATGGAAATGTGACGGATTAGCTTTGACCAAATTAATGAATCTATGAATTGATTTTCGATTAGCTTTAAACATTGGAAGAATTGTAATCACTGGAATGAAATATAACATACCGACATACAACTTTTGCCCGTTGAAAAGTAAAATTTAGGACTTTAAAATCTCAGTAGAAAAAACTATCTTATAGTGCACACATTACTAAAAACCGAACGGCGTTTTTGGTTTTGTAACTTCTTCACGCGATTACTAGTTATGTGAAGAAGCAAAAGTAACCAAAAAGTTGCTGGAACTGGAACAGAGGAGGTACTTACCGTAGCAACTATGTTCTTGTACAACCGATTTGCTTCCCCATAGCACCCATGAAATTTTAGTGGATCAAACCAGTGTTGGCCTCGAGTAGCCTTCGCAAAATTCCAGCTGGTTACTTGCCGTTTCCCGCTATGGATTGCAACCACGCTATCCCACGCCTCAGCACGTGTAGAACATGCAGCCATGTGGACCACGTCAGATAGTAACCACGATGATCTCTGTTGACGAGTAGTTTTCCGGCGATCCGGAACTCCAGGAGCATATGCGCAACCGAGGCTTTTATTCATATTTTCATTGAACGTTGAAAATATACTGTTTAATAATCAAGAACAATCATTACCTTTTGTACAGCTACGATTATTGTGATAAAAAATATTACAATTGTTGTTGCTTCCACTCCTCAAATAAAATGAAATAGAACTCAATAAAAACACGAATTTCAATGGTAGAGATCATGAGTCAATTGAAGCTAGACCACCATGGAAAAACCTGGAGGTACTGGACGGCCGTCTCGTCCTATTGTGGGACTCAGCAGTGCGCATCCACGATCGCGCTTCGCGGGATTCAAACCCAGGACCTCCTGTTCTCGCGCGCGAGCACTTAACCAATAGGCCACTGAGCCGGCATCCAACGGTGTTCATGTCTAACTTCAGCTAATCCACGAAATTGAGCGACACACCCACCATTGGTCTATCTTCAATTGACTCATGATCTCATCTATTGAAATTAATAAAATCTCCACAAAACCCCTTTCTGAAAAACTTGGAAGTCTGTGTACTAGATAAAGAACCATAACTCCTAATTAACGACAAGTGGAAATAATTGACTCAAAACTTAGTAGATGCAGTAGGTTTTATGGATATTACCATTACTAGTATTCTTAATTCTTAAGAAAAATAGTACACTGAATACACCAATCAAAAACAAGGAAATACATTAAATGTTGGTACACTGAACAGCTATCTGTGAACAAGTAGACATTGCGGCGAAGTCTTAATTGACAATAATACCTCCAAAAAAGCAGTCTTTAATGACACCATAACAAGATGGATTTACAAGGGAATAAACCATTGCTTTTCTTATTGATTGAAATCTGAGTGATTGTGTAGTAAATAGGAGCATTCATGTTTTAAAATATGCAAACAACAACCTGCCAGGATATATAAACGATACACGTTGAACATCCTGATATTTTACATCACTTAATTACTGAAGATATGAAAATTAGGAGTGTGAGTACTCATTCTGGGGAGCAGTCCACTCACTCAGCTCATCAAAAACAAGTAAACACTCAATAGCAATGTGTCAAATGACCGTGAATTACTGCAATTAGTGTTAAAAGAGAATGCACATTTAGTGAAACAATTCATATCTATTAGGAACAGATTTATTTACATTCTGATAGTATAATTAGAAGACAAAGTTAATTTGAAAAATGAAGAGTATTTGAGCTATACACTTTGAACAATCATGTTAGTCATTAACTTGTCAAATAATCTATATGGGAAAACTAACGAAGGTCGATTAAACAAAATTCCAACAAATATACATCGATAATTGGAAATAAATAAATAAGTAGAAAATAATACATGAAAAGAGTAACGAATCGTAACACCACTATGAACCTCAAAACAGATTAAAGACTTGTTTTAATTGTTTTGGTATCGAGGATCATAGTTCAGTGTCTCGTGTTTACTAGGGGATTTAACGCCAACTGACCAATATGCGATCTAGAAAAATGTTCCATCATCCCTGATTGCACTGTTCAATTATTCCTCCTAACGTATTTATCCAAATACACAAATGTGAATTAGCAAATACATTGATGTGATACAACCATTTATGAAATGTTTGGCCCCATGTGGAACCATGGACTATTTCTTTTAGATGACCGTCAATTTTGTAGCACAATGTCTTTTAATGGTTGCTTTTTACCTCTGCTACTAAATTATGTTGTTTGATACTCCTTTATAAGGTACTATGTCCTGAACCCTTTTCTTCAAAACAGAACTAAGGAGTTTCGATGTCGATTGGCTTTTACACTTTACGCCAAATTTAATTTTAATTTAATTTAATTTAATATTAATGCATCCGTCATTAGTTTCGCATCCTCTTTAATCACATCTGTATTGCAGATTCGTTGAATTTCGTTAACGAGGCAGCTGATCAAGCCTTGCTTGTACTACAACGGACATAAACGGTGAAGGTCTAGAAATTAACATGTCTAGGCGAGCTTCCTATGAACTAACTGCTTGGTGGTTCTATCATCCCTCCAACTCAAATGTATGTCTAGAAAGTGTAATTGGTTGTTATTTTTCTTGTGACAAAGTTGAGCTATGTCATTTTGTACGTTGTTAAACCACATAATAACAAAACTATGTTGAATTTCTTATCGCATATACCCAAGATAATAACTCCGTACCTCCTGTACTAAGTTACCTCACTGATGCACTCTCTTGTCTATTTCCAGCATGTGACAGAGATTACCTAAGGTAGGTCTTAAAGGATTACCCACATCGTCAACTTGCCAAAAATGCTTACTTTCAAACTTGAAATAAGTTTTTTCAATACATAATAAAACATTTTCAACAGAGCAACAAGGTTTGTAGAATAAAATGAATTCATCAGTCTATTTAATGGTTTCATATCAGCTGCATACAACCTAAAATTACAACCATTAATAAAATTGTACAACATCAAGTGTTCGTTATACTATGCAAAGGTAGATCAATACTCTTCAGACATCATTTTCAATTGCATCTATGAATTTGCATATACCTGCGGCAGTAATTGCACAGGAAGGACAGAGACAAGGACCTGTACAAGGTTTCCTGAACACATTCCTCGTAACCTACGGTTGAAAGGGAGTACAGTCTTTACAAATGCAATTGCTAGACACCTTTCAGATAGTGGATACGAGATAAATTTAAGTAATATATTTAGAACAATTAACAAAGGTAATTAATATCAAACGTTTCCGAACTAACTTATGTATACAGAAGGAAAGTGTGGCTAGACTTTTCATGCCATGATGATTGGGGTTTCACTTAACAACCTTTATTAATCTTAACTTTTAACCTTTCTAACAACCTTGTCCACAACCTTTAGTCTTTGTTTTTATTTCTGATATTCATCTCTTACACAATTTTAAAGATGCTATTGTACTATATCCTTATACATTATTTTATTTTTTTATTTTAACACACAGATATTGGTACAAGGAGGCACCAAATACATATGCGCCACACAGATGTCATTTGGTGTGTGAGGGCTGTGATACTGCCCGAGTGCCCAAACCGAAGCAGGTATCCTTATACATAATCTTTCTTTTATAATGTTACTGCCATTGAAGTAAATACTATGAATTCGGTTTTCATCTTGTTGTGCTAACGAAGTATGGCAACTAGGATCGATACATATATGTGCCTGGTTCTACGTTGTGATTGACTGACTGACTGACTAGTGATGTTCGCGTACGTCAATTTTACCATGTTGAGCGATTACCCAATCAGTCAGTCAGTAACAACGTAGAACTCCATACGTACGTATATCAGTTCGAGTTGCCACACCACATTAAAACAGAGATGCACTTGTCGACTCAAATTCCGTAGTGCTAGATGTAGTAAAATTATAAGCTGTAATCAGAAAAATTAGGGTTTGAAGATATTATTCAAGGAGTATAATCTAGTGAAGTAAATTTGGAAAGAGAAAAAAGAAAGGGACATGAAGAACTCAGAAGATTAGAATTTGGGAGAACACAAAGAGTTGATGCACTTGCTCCATTGCAAACGATTTTGAGCCTTGGCATTCAGGGTCTCTAACCATCGGTTGCTATCATCTCGCGCTCCCCAACCAGGTAGTCTACACCTACCAACATGACTCAGTCCACTTGTCAGTGACTTCATGGACTTGTGCCATGTTTTGGTCTGGCCGCCCCTAGCTTTCTTCCAACCTACTCCTATACTATTGAACATTGCACGTCGGGGCAGTCGGTGGTTGGGCATACGTAACACATGTCACAGCCATTTCAACTGATGAAGTTTCACTATTTCATCAATTGATTTGCTATCCCTACCTAGTACCCGTTTCCTAACAAATGCGTTACTTACTCGATGGTCCCAGGATATACGAGCAATATTTCGAAGACACCTATGATCAAATACTAGTAACCTATGGATATTCTCTACTCTTACCGGCCATGTTTCACTGCCATAAAGTAGGACGGGACGAATTGCTGCGCAGTAAACCTGTCCTTTGGTTGATAGACGGATATCGCGTCTACACCATAAATGACGCAAGTTAGCGAAATCCAGTCGAGCCTTCTGTATCCGTGCTGAGACTTTTTCAAATACCAGACTACAAGGGCTGATGAGCAACATTTGGCATTTCGAGAGGGAGAATCGCATCCCGAACATGCTTGCATTGTTGCTTAGAGTAGTCAGAGGACTCTGCATTTTATCAGCGTCTTCATCAAATAAAACTATGTCATCGGTATATTCTAGGTCAAAAAGTGAATCTCCCGGTAGAAGTTCAACCCCTGGAAATTTAGATGAGGAAAGTGTCATCTCTAAAAGCACATCAACGACAAAGTTAAACAAGAATGGAGAGAGTGGACAGCCCTGACGAATACCACTTGAAGTAATCAATTCTGATGACAGTTCGCCATAAGCTTTCACTCTACCAGTTGTGTTCGAGTAGAGAGCCTTTATAAGGTTAATGTACTTCTTTGGTACTCCTATCAGTGACAAACACTGCCATAGAACCTTACGATCAACAGAATCGAATGCCGCCTCAATGTCGAGAAATACTACCATTGTGGGGCGTCTGAATGTGTGTCTATGTTCTAGGATCTGACGTAGTGTGAATATCTGATCTACACAACCACGTACAGGTCGAAAACCAGCCTGATTTTCTCTAGTCTGCTCTTCACGAGCCCTGGTTAGGCGTCGAAGTATTATTGAAGCTAATATTTTAGACACTATATTTGTCAAACTGATTCCTGTGATTGTCCTTTCTTATAGACTGGCACAATCAGTGATTGAGATCAGTCAGATGGGATTACGTCCAGTTCCCAAATTCTACCTAAGACCTCAGCTAATCTCACTGCTAATACTGAACCACCGTCCTTAAAAATCTCAGGAGTAAACTTGCCAGGGTCTGCCGCTTTCCCTTGCTTCAGATTTCCTATGGCTTTTTCAACTTCGTAAAGAGACGGAGGACCTACATTAACTTGCCATTCAGGTTGACTGGAGATCGTGGGAAACCGAAGTGTGGCTGAACGCCAATTGAACTGATCCCTAAAGTGTTCTGCCCATCGATCCAATCTCCTGGATTGAGAATGTATAATATGTCCCTCTTTTTCTGAGTGTTTCGTTAAGTCGGTTTCCTAATACCGGTTTCCTTAACAAGTCACCTATAAATTTCATTATCTTTACATAACCTTTGAACTATTACCTTCCAGTATATAAATACACATCGATCTTAACTATGTTTATTTACAAACTTTGTATCCTTTTTCTTTTTTAATCATGATTTTGGTTGTTTCGAACATTCGTCAGGCCTTCACAAACTAAATTATGCTAAACATTTGTTAATAATTAAACTTATTTTAATAATTGTGATTTAGGTGGTATGCAGCTGATAAGAAACCGGGAAATAGACCGATTATTATTTATTTACTCGGGGGCGAAATAGACCGATAAATTCATTTTATTCTACAAGCATTGTTGTTCTTGCTGTTTAAATTTATCAAGGGATTTGGCCATATGAAAATTTTTCAGCTGTGTTGGCCGGAAAGGAAAAAGAGGAAAATTACTAGATGTGTAGTCACAAAGGATGTCTATAGTTTTGACCAAAGGTATTTGTGCACAAATTCTTCCTTAATATTGTTGCAGTTGAAAAGACGATTAGTTTAAACATACCTTTAAAAGAAAACTTACATGAGTCTTGACAATCATTTTGTCAGTTCATGTGTATATGAATCGTAAGTACACAGTGTTGATTTTAATGGATCATCGGTTTGTGAACTTTAGACAATCCGTACAAATTTGGGACCCGACCTCTGTACAGTCAGCAGTACGACTTCGCCTTCGGACCTTGGGTTTGTTGCTTTTAGTCTTACCGCTCTTCAACCGACCTGTCTGACATGGTAGGACCTTGAGGAACGGTTGTTCCAGCCAGTATAGCTCGGTTGCTTCATCACGATAGGCAAGCCGGACCACATGGCCTTTAAGAGTGGAAGACACCCGTAAGCTACTAGTATTTGACCACAGATGCCTTAGAAATATTGCTGGCATCTGCTGGGATCACCGGGTAAGTAATAGTGAGGTTAGACGCAGGGTATTAGGGAATGATGGTAAATCAGTTGATGAGGTTATGAATCTTCACCGACTGAGATGGTTGGGCCACGTATTACGTATGCCTGAACACCGATTACCACGACGTGCAATGCTAACCGGTGTAGGGGATGGTTGGAAGAAAGTTAGGGGCGGCCAAACCAAAACGTGGCATCAGTGCCTGAAGTCACTAACTTCTAGTCTGAGCCATGTTGGTAGATGCAGACTACTTGGTTGGGGTCCGCGTGACTTTCGTAACCAATGGTTGGAGACTCTTGGTGACATGGCTCAGAATCGATCACAATGGCGTCGGTGTATACACTCTCTGTCGTCCCTTAAACTAAGAGATTAAAATCACTTCATATCTTTCTTTCTACGAACTAATTCTTTCTTCCTATACTATATCCTTATTGCAACCTTTGACCTAACCACTCCTATGAATCCGGTGTTCATCTTGCTGTGCTAATGAGGTATGGCAACCTGGACCGATGCACATATGTGCCTGGTCCTACGTTGTAGCTGACTGACTGACTGACTGACAAATTTGGGAGTTCAGACCCAATAAGCTGCATAACATTGAATCCCTAGTTACTGACGACATTCATATTAAGTTTAACAAGACTGAGCTTAAACCTGATTACTTTCTAACATCATTTGACTGACCGTTTACAATAAACTGCCTTTGATCTAAAACAATGAGTAACATGTTTTTTTTCTTTTTAGTCACTTTTGTTTATAACAGCTATACCTAACCTTTAAATACGTCTAAAGCCTGCCATATAAACCGTCTCCCATATTCCTGATGACTTGCGATTCTATGCATTATTACCGAATCCAAGCGTGGTATCGACCGGAATTTTGCTTTTATGGCGCTTTGATTGTACATCCTGGCAAGCATGTGCTTATTTGACTGACGAATAGACAAAGTAGCAATTATTATAATAATAACAAGGCGAAAGTAACGCTAGATTTATGAAAGAATAAGGCAGAACTGAGTCACTGTTTATATAAATAAAAGAAACACTATCTATTACCTTGGGTAATTATGATTGAGGATAACTGGGGAAAAAAGACATACCGAAGTACACCATCTTTTCCAGCGCTAAGTAACAGCCCACCACCTGCCGAACACCCGGGCCAAAATAATATGCGATTCGGAGGTCGAGAATGGCCTATTCGACGATATACTGTACGCGGACTACCGTCAGACCGATCGAAGTAAGAAACCTGTAGAAAAGAAGACATTAAAGTAGAAACAATGATTCAGTGTATACACTATCTCTGTGTGCAATCGCATAGGTATTGAAAGAATATAAAAGTTTCAATTGGCCCGAATTCACACTCTAGTTAAAGTTATAGCTAAATTATACATCAGGGTACGAAACATTGTCTAAACAAAACATTTGTAACGAATTCCAATGCATATAAACGTCGTTTACGTAAGCTAATAAAATTGTGAGAAACATGAAATATAGCTCAGTGTATTACAGTCTTCAGTCACTAACAAAAATTGATCTCTGGACTCGACTAGAAATTATTTATTTATTTATTATTTATTTGAACACATAGATATTGGTACAAGGAGGCACCTAATACATATGCGACACATAAATCTCATCCGATTTGTGTGAGGGCTATGATACTGACCGGGTGCCCTAACTGAAGCAGGTGGTTTTCTTAGGGGGTCACACCCGGAGCCTATGCCCCAGAGGTCTGACCCACAAGGCAGTGGAGCAACGTAATCAGATACAGTCCGATGATAGTCGGTGACCAACGACTGGTTCATACGCGATTTGTTCCCTCAGGGTACTGGAGCCCATGCGTAACATTGGTTTGGAACCAGGGTTTTCCAACTCCTAGGTGGACTCTCCGTGCCCACCAGCCCGGTTAAAGTGTCGTTCATTCGCTTTCCGTCCTCTCAATTTCGTAAACAACACCCCCACTACGAGAAAGCAGTGAGTAGGACTTCCCTGGCAGGGGCTATATACGCGTGGCCATGTGACAGCATTTTGAGAGGGAGAGCATTCGGGGGCACCAGAAATTATAGGCGGGCTTACATAGCTTAAAAGTTACCTAGAGATGAACTTTGCCCAGTCTGGGCACCCAGGGAGTATCAGCCCACACACAAACCAAATGAAATGATTAACAGGTCCCGAGAAACATAATGAATGGTAACTTTGGGATCCTTTTATGGACCAATACTAAACGTATATTTTTATCGTATAATTGTTAAATAACTAAACTATTCATATTTATGTTCCTCTTATTATAAGATTTATTTTGACCTATGAACCATTATTATACGTTTTACCATTCTTGAATTATGCCGTCTGTTAGTCACCGCCTCCCACATTCACAGCCACATTTGGCCATATTTTGTACAAATGTTATTTTCTATTTTATCCTACGTTGTCGTCTGTTTGATTGATATACAAACTCAGTATGTTTGAAATATAACGAGGCTGAGACTGATGTTCTGGACTTAACTGGCTGGGTTAGGCGGAAAGCAGGACCAATCAGAACTCTAGGCTGCTCGCATGTGTTTTACGCGTCCTTGGTCCAATCGATAATTCGCTGCTTCTGATTGGCGGCTTTGGGCTATAACACATTCACAAGAGAAAAAGAAAGATCGTGAAACGCAAAACAATGAACACCAACCAAATCACACTTGATGGCGAGGCTCTGGAAGAAGTAGAAACCCCCACTACCTAGACAGCGACATCGATAAACAAGGAGGATCTGATTCGGACGTGAAAGCACTAATCAACAAACCAAGGCTAGCATTCCTACAACTGAAGAATATCTGGAACTCAATACTAAAGTCACAATTTTCAACACTAACGTCAAAGCAGTTTTATATCGTAAAGAGCTGAGACTTGGAGAACTACCACAACCACCATAATCAGGTACAGATGTTTATAAACAGGTGTCTACGCAAGATACTCCGGATCCATTGGCTAGAGACCATCAGCAATAACATACTCTGACTGAGAAGAAACTGACTTCCAGTTAAGAAAATTAAGAAAAAGCGTTGGGTGGGTAGGACACTGTAGAAACCACTGAACTGAATCAAGAGGCAAGTCCTAACTTGAAATTCTCAGGCAAACGGGAAAGTGATGAATCGAGGATCACAGGATGTCGAAATCTGGAGGCGGATATCAAGGGTATAGGAAACTTGGAAAGGAGATTTCTTGTAATTGGCCAATGCCTTAATAAAGAGAGAAGACTTATGTAACTTGAGTAATTTCGAGAATGAAGGCAGTTAAATATGAAGCTTTAAAAAATGTAATTGATTAGTTCTAAAACATGAAATTTCCAAATAACCCAAAGCACTGCGGTTACCTTTATACAATTGTCTGTTCCAGACGTTACTATTCCATTGGCACCATCACCTCCAGGAATGCAATATATAGTTATTACACTACCCCAATGTAAGTTGCGAGCTTCGCCAACTGATCTACTTTTTCCATTGTTTTGAAGTTTCCAACAGTTGATATATCCTGTCTCACAACCAGTAATTAAATAAACATCATTATTGTCATCAGGTAGCAAAGTGATCCTACTGTTTTCATCAACGTTTGAAGGACTTTGCAAACCATGTAAACCTAAGTGAAGAATTTAAATTGTTCAGTTGAAAACATGATTAAAGACGCTAAATGAAGTGCGTATGTGTGTATCAGACATCTCAAAAATCCATCGGTAATGAACAGCTGACCGTTATAATCATCGATGTTTTTAAAAACTCATAAGAGCTATATGACAAGATTGATGACAAAATACATGAGGTTACTCAAGCGTCCAAATGTTGCTTTTATACTAAATCATAAAAGACTAACTAAAATATCAGGTCAACAAAGAACATTTAGTACTGTCAATGTTATCTCAGAGGAGCCCAATGTTATAAGCACGCAACCGAGTTTGTTTTTGCAGTATTAACAACTGGAAAACATTGAATCTAACCCAAACACAACTTACTACATATCATGCAGAGTACAGTCATTGTTAATCGTATAATTGTGAGTAAAAATGATTGTTATCCAGACATGTATATGTATATAACTATACAAATACACGGTGCTACGCGGATTGTCAGGTAGGGTTCTCTCTTTCCAAATGCAAAATTTTCAAAACTGACATTTGACAATGCCTAAACTAATGATAAAAAGTGAAGTAGTTGAGCACATTGATCACACCATTATAGAAGTTCCAAAAGACTGTGGAGTGAAGTCTGACGAAACATTGCCACAGATCAAGAAAACCCTGTAACAGGCCCCCAAATGCCCTAGTACGGCCGAGAGTGGGGAGAGTCCGCTCTTCCTCTCGAAATGCTCTCACATGGCCACGCGTATATAGCCCCTGCCAGGGAAGTCCTACTCACTGCTTTCTCGTAGTGGGGGTGTTGTTTACGAAATTGAGAGGACGGAAAGCGAATGAACGACACTTTAACCGGGCTGGTGGGCACGGAGAGTCCACCTAGGAGTTGGAAAACCCTGGTTCCAAACCAATGTTACGCATGGGCTCCAGTACCCTGAGGGAACAAATCGCGTATGAACCAGTCGTTGGTCACCGACTATCATCGGACTGTATCTGATTACGTTGCTCCACTGCCTTGTGGGTCAGACCTCTGGGGCATAGGCTCCGGGTGTGACCCCCTAAGAAAACCACCTGCTTCAGTTAGGGCACCCGGTCAGTATCATAGCCCTCACACAAATCGGATGAGATTTATGTGTCGCATATGTATTAGGTGCCTCCTTGTACCAATATCTATGTGTCTGAGGACTGACAATAACTTGCCACATGTTTATTTGGTTTTGGTAAACACGACAAGCAGACATGCTTAATCATGCTTGAGTCGTGTGAGGAAATGATGTATTAAATAATGAAAATTTTCAAAGTTAAAGAAATTACTATGTCTATTGTATTAAACCAAACATACCGCTTCTAAAGCCAATAGATGTAATCGCCCCACCATCTTGAGCAAAGGTCATTAATGTAACATCATATTTCAGGTTGTGAATGACGACGCGTCCATCGGCAAGACCGATAGCACAGACGTTAAACGCTGGGGCTTGCTGTAGGCACGTCACAGCAGAATCAAATCCTTTGAACCAGTAGATTAACTTTTTAGATACGACGTCCCACAATTGCAACGAACCTTGATAGCTTCCAAAAAGTATTTTATTTTTGTAATTAATGGGACTAATCAGTGATGTAACGCAGAAAGCCTTTGTCGAGAATTTTATGTGAGACACAATCTCTGTAAAATACTCTAGTTGTCAATGAGTTCTTACCCCAAGATTTACTGTTCCATACTTGAGTAAAACCGCCTTCATCAACTGAAACCAGAAACGAATCCTCTAGAGAGCACAAATGGGTGATTATATTTGTATGGTGCTGAAGTCTTTGTAGCAGATAACGAGAATTACGAAAAATATAAATCGTTTCTCCAGAAGCAGCAACTAGAACGTTACCACAAGAAGTGAAACACTTGATTGGGGATTCAAGAGGATCGCCTATCAAGAATTATTATTAAAGCATAATTGCTTACTTGTCCCAATAAGCGTCAGTCTTGGAAGCTTAGGTTAGGAATTAAATCTTATTCGGCATCAGACCTACTTTATATATATTAAACCGTTCTCCTGTGGGAACTACAGCATAATATGCACTTGAGTTTGGAATATATTTTACAACAAAAGGTACATCTGAGGAACATAAGCCAAGGACTCTGTATGGGTGATATATATTGGACATCACGAGTAACCCACAGTCCCCGGTAGGTTTATATGCGGCCTGACGCTATGTTAAGGTGTACACAGCAGCGTGCTCGTGTGAATCTAAGAGAAAACAACGAAACAAACTGATCCACTGTCTAAGTAAGCAAATACAATGCACTCATACCTATTAATAAAAACTACCGACAACAATCACAAATGACATAAGTGTTATATGGAGACAATCAGACAGTTGGAACCGAAGTCAAAGGAATGAAGTGTGCAACACGACCAGTTAGCTAGAGTAACTCTCTCAGTGAGATGTTTATAAATCCTCCGTCCCATTAGCTACCAACTAAAGGCAATGCCCAGTTAAATGTGTCGATCCGACCAATCAATAGTCTTAAACCACTGGATATCTCTATCTTGCCGTGCTTACCGTACCGGGCGTTCTACTCAAGTTTCCCTCTCTTTCATTTCAACAATATTGAACAGCTTGGTTTAAGGCAAGTCTTCTGTGTTTCAGGTCTTCAAGTTCTGTCGTGTGTGTCCAGCTTAGCACTGTTTTCAGCTTTTCGCATATTTAGCCAGTCTGACGATGCATGAAGATCACAAAGTTCATAGTATTTATGATAAACTTGTAGCGGTAAATAAATCCCCAAAATAAATAGCACTAAGTTTTCGACATTGGATGCTGACCATATGTTTTAGTGGACTCACCTAGCTGAAGGCGCTCGGTCAGGCATCCGCACCAGATCACGTGTGGTAACGCCGTGCTCAACATCAACCGCAATCGCTAGCCAGATTAGATCAGAGAATTCCGATGTATTGATTATCGCCAAATACACTCATTCGATCTCCTCGATTCCGTCTCTTGATTTCTCTGGGCGGGAACGAAATATATTAGAAGGTGTTACTGGTAGAAGCGTTGTCAAACACTGAATACCTGTGACATCATCAAACTTGCTCTTTTTAGATGTAGGTTCTGACGTGCCTGTTAATATGTATCGGTTATCCTGGCAACCAAGAAAGAACTAGCTTTGATATATACATTTTTGGGGCAAGAAAACAGGGTTACGTTCGTAAAAATATTCGCATGTAATTCGACGGATTAGATCTGTAAAAATCATTTTTCACTGCAAGATGAAAAAAGTCTACCAAACACTCGATGAGTTTTAAAATTGCATCGATCCCCATAGATATTGGTATTGCCTTCAGCATTATAGGTTATGAAGCCTTATTGCAACAATCAAGTATCTCGCCCGTTTCGTTTTGTATTTACTGTAGCGGTAAATAAATCCCCAAAATAAATAGCTCTGTAAGTTTTCGACATTGGATGTTGACCAGATTAGTTTTAATGGACTCACTTAGCTGAAGGCGCTCGGTCAGGCATCCGCACCAGATCACGTATGGTGAAGATGTGCTCAACATCTACCGCAATCGCTAGCCAGATTAGATCAGAGAATTCCGATGTATTGATTATCGCCAAATACACTCATTCGATCTCCTCGATTCCGTCTCTTGATTTCTCTTGGAGGGTACGAATTATATTAGGTGTTGCTGGTAAAAGCGTTGTCAAACACTGAATACCTGTGCCATCTTCATTACTCTGTACTTTTTGTAGTGCTTCGAATTCACTAAATGTATCGATCGACTTAACCTGAGTTTTGACGATTGATATTCAGAAGATATTTTGGAAGTTGAATTAACTCAGTTTTTCGAATGGTTTTGATCATATGAAAAAACAGTAATTTTATGTCTGTTTTAATCCCTCATGGTTGTCACTTTCATTTAGGAAGTGGTGTGTTGAATTATGAGATTATTATGCATATTATAGTGCATCAGGAAATTCTCTGACGTGACCTCGTCGACCTCTCACCGATACGCGGGACTATCTGTTTTTCACTGTCCGATTGGAATATTTAAATACTTCCAAAGTTGTAGACTGTCTTTCCTTTCCGGTAGACTATCACAATCACAAATCTGACAACCATAATCATAACAAGTTTGAGCAACTATGCGGCAAGTCTTGATGTATCGGTCAATTGCTCTCCTCTCAAGTTGCTTAGAATAGGAGAAAACGGAGTCCTTAAGTGCCTGTATCGCAGCCTACAGAAGAGCAACAACACAACGCATGTTCACCATTTATTGAAACCAAGGACTTAGCATTCTAATTTAATTTCTGTAGTCGCTGGTTTCACTGTTGTTGTGATATTGCAGTACCTAAGCAGTACGACCGGTTCATTTTAAATCATCCTTGTTCGTGGTTCTGAAACATTTGTCCACAAAGTAGAAAAAATATTCCAGCGGAACTAAAAAAGGTGAAGCATAAGTCCCCATCAGAAGCAACCGTATGAATGCCCCCGGTGTACCCAGTTTGTAGAACGCAACAACAATCGAACGCGTCACAATTTCAGCTCTGCTATACCAAATAATGTTAACGGTAATGAGCGGTAACTGTGCGTCAGGAAGGAGAATATCATCATTCTAGCCCCCAAAACGCTAAACTTTGGGGACAAATACATTATCCAAAGTTACCCCTCCATTAAGGGTAACTTTAGGTTCAGCACAAGTTACAAAAGAAATCTTACTGACACCCCAGAGGTCTTCTCGAACCCGAGTTAGACATAATGAACCGTGGGCCGTAACGTGTGCCGCCAGAAGATCGATAGACGTCCAAGAACTAACCAGTATGGATGGATGTAGTGGCACTGGATACTAGCCATAATCCTCAAAGATGAATGTAATATAACTGGGGAAATAGACTTTTGTTACGTAACACTAATAGAGGTTTAATAATTGTGGAAGCGAAAACATTTGTTCGAAATTCAATAAATCTAATGGCATCGCTCGGCCTTGTAGGCTTGTTAATTTTTGTGTGTTGCCTTATCTCTTATCTCCATTATTAGGGTAGGACTAATAAAGAAGTAGACCATAATCCTACATATCCACGGAGTGCCTGAACCAGGAGGTGGTGGTCAGGACGATGCTCATGAACATGGTATTCGACAGTGACGTTAATCAATATGTAGCATGGGCCTTTACACCACAATGACAACTGGCGTGTCCATGCAAGCTTGTTCGTTACACCTCATGGCCTCTAAGTCTGCACGTCTGATGTCTATAAAATTCGAAAACCGAGAGGATCTGAATGAGGCCCTCCAGACCTGACACAGTACGAAGAATAATCTCTCTAATCTCAACAGATGTTTTGGAAGCCAACCTAGATCAGTAAAACAACAGCAGTAAAGCCAAATAAAATAAACCTTGCAGTCAGCTGACGATGATTGACATCCAGCAACACAGAACATAAAGACTGTGGTTTTGCTAATAAAACACGCTGTACAGGCAAAACGCCTACAACGTCTAGTTTCCACAGAACCAGCTAATCTATTTTAAATAACAATTCGTTTAAATCTATGGTAAAATGCTACCACAGAAGAACACTAAGTAATGATAGTAACTATTAAGTTCCTCGTTAGCAACGTAGGAGAACTGACGGATAAATTAGAATAAATCAGAAACATGTGCTTCCTATTGGATCTAGAGATCTTAGTCCCAACTGACACAATTATCACCCGACATCAAGGATGAAGTGAATGTTCAAAATGTGATACTTTCCCAATGAAATAAAGCACAAAAAACTGCAATAATAATTTTTTTCTTATTTATTTTCTATTTCATCTTTGTTACTAATGCGACGACACATACATAGTCGTTTATGCTTATTCTGTGTTCATAAACACGACTATTAAACTATTTGCGTATTTCACGTCACCTTTATTTCTATTCTCTTACTTTCTTCCTTTCCTTCTTTAAATTCAATTTACTATTCTCAATTACACAGAACCTGATTTATTATTATTATTATTCTATTTTTATTACTCTCTTTTTTCAAATATGGCAAATATAATGCTGACATTATTGAAACTTGCGTATTATTGCATTTTTGAAGAAATCCGAAATGGTTTCTTCACAACACTTATGTACCCACAAGATGTTTGTCAGTAATAATAATAATATGTAACGGGGACGGGAAACCCTCAAATTTAGATTATATGTTGACAAATGATCAGCTTCTAGTTGAGGATGTCTATGTCCACACACTTATGGGGAGTAGTGACCACGGCACAGTTATGTTAAACGTGGACGAAAACGAGACACTTTAGAGGGATGAAAATCTTCCCTACCTTAGTTGCACTAGAGCACTCTACACGAATATGAGAGAGCATTGCCAACAAACCTCAAGGCCTCGAGAATACTGAAGGCTAACAGAGGATGACCACTGGGGGATAGTGAAAGATATCATTTGGAACGCTACCTTACAACATAAACCACAATCAAAGCACACACCTGGAAGAGGAGGATCCTGAGGTACGGAAGGCTAGCTGACGGACAAAAAGACAATCTTACATAAGTGGAAAGTCTTCCTGAAGAGTTCTAATCATAATTCTTGCTTAGCATTAATAAACAGATGCAGTCCTAGACACTACAGAGAAAGGAATGTTTTCAGGTTCGACTGGAAGTCAAAATGCATGCTAACTCCTCATATCTCTACGGAATCATAACCGGAAGAAAGCTGACTGGTAAACGGCCAAATGAAAAGATCTGACAAAATTAGAGAAAGCAGAAGCGTTTGACGCCAACTATAACGACCACTTAAACAACGAAGACACAAAGCAGAACTCACATCTACTCCATTCTCACTTGATATTCTAGATGAGATCCGACAAAAACACTGTTAGGTATCATGGAAACTAAAATGTTTACACTATGGGATAGAATACATTGATGTGGGGTGGCCGGCTTGCCCATCATGATCAATCGACAGAGCTCTTTACCTGCAACACATGTTCCTGTAGGTCCTACCATGCCAGGCACATTGGTTGGGGAACAGTTAGACTAAGAGCAGTAACTTAAGGTCCAGAGGCAAATTTGTACTGTCGGCTGTAAATGAGTGTGACGACAGTAAGATGTTTCTCTTGGAAAACCTCTATCTGCAGCGACGTTACCTTCCTACAACAGAAGGAATAGGGTCGAAAATGTCGGTCTTGAAAATTTCGCACCTCATCTTAACCCACGAATTTCCGTCTCTGAGGTTAAGGCCTTTTAAAGTGCGGAGCTGATCAAACGAAAGTTTTTCAAAAAGACTGTGTGTGGCCGGCCTCAAGCATTTCCCCCTTGGACTCTGCAATCACACTTCCAAGTCACTAAGACTACCACCAATCCGGGCTCTTTTTCAGGTCCCTCTACGGCGTAGAGAGCCGGAAAGTGACAACCGCCTTCATGCCTCCAATGGCACCCGAGGTCATCATGTTGACGATCGAATCCCTCTCCTACCTCTTAAAAGTTCCTCCACCCCATGAACAACTCTTTCCACGTATCTCTATCACCACACGCCATCAATGCTAATGACTCGAGTCCACGAAATGTTATTTCCGGTCTCCTGAATCCACACGCTAAACTACACATTGTAGCTTTTAATGTTC